CCCCCCCCCCCGCCCCCCCCCCCCCCGCCCGCCCCGCCCCCCCCCCCCCCCCCCCCCGCCGCCCCCCCCCCCCCCCCCCGCCCCGCCCCCCGCCCCCCGGCGCGGGGCGGGGGGGGGAGTGGCCCACATACCAATCATGCACCGGTTATCCCTTCGCATTATGACATGGCTTAAGATCATTCCAGTGGCGCAAGACCATGCGCTGATCTTAGCTTGAAATAACCCGCCAATGAAGTCGACATCTGACCATTGATGGGACTGGAAAGTTCGCCAGTCGGCCTTTCTCAATCAAGAATACTAACGCATCTTATAGTGCTATCCAGAGGGAAATGGAAAACGAATCAGCAGATGTGAATTGCTACCTACAATGTCTAAAACTACATTTTCATAGGTCGGTTGAGAGGAATGGCCCGAGTAACAATCAAAGTATGCTAAAATACCTTCGCAGAAGGTGAAACGACCCTAACATTAGTGTAGTTACATCGCATATTAGTTCCGTTTCCCGAAATATCATTTTCCTCCGACTAAAATATATATATAGCCTTCTATCCTGTCTAAACAACAGGGTAAATATTTTACAATTCTGCGTACTGGCAATATCCACTGATGTCTTCATTAATCTTTGAAAAGTCTCTCCAATGTCAACCTCACGATTTTTTCCGGTCCCAACCGCCTATAGGGCCTTTTCGCAATCATAATGCATGCTACCTTGCTATCCCTGGTACTAGTCACCCCAATAGCGGGTGCGATGAAGCCGCTGCAATGAAGCTACTATATCCAACCAAGCACTCAACTAAAAGCAAGGTAGAGGTGAAAAGAAGGAGGCACCTCATTGCAAAAGTCGAGATTATTTCGCAAATTCTCGTCGCAAAAGCGAAGGAAGCAGCCGAAAGAAACCACCAGAACCGTCAAGCCTTGCGGACGAAACTAGCACCAGAACTCAATCAACGCAAACGGAGTAACCAGTTGTCCTCCAGCGACAGATCTGGTATGCGTGATATGGATGAAAATTTTGAGGTTCTATCTCCACGAGATGTCAGATCCTTCTCATTCATCCTCGAACCAACCACGAAGAAGCGGTTTTGTCGAAAGAAGATCGAACTCTGGTTGCCGAAAAACCCACACGAGATAACGATGGACTTCTCCCGTCCAGGAATGGCACTTCTTAGACCACAGTCTTTGACATATGCTACTTCTGGGCCCGCTAAGCAGAGCTTATCATCTAAGAAATCCTCAACTACCAAAAAGTCTGTTTTGAACGCAATCGCGGAGCCACGCATTTCAACCACTCTGTTCATTGGTGAAACCACACAGTCTGGTTACCAGGGCAAGAAAAAGCAAGCGGATTTGGGTTTGAACGAGGTCAATCCAATTCAAAAATTCAAACCTTACGTGTCAAAAACCATCATCCGAAACCTATCTGAGAGTCTTAGGGAACTTCTTACCAAGCCTCTCTCGAAAAGCGATTTGAAATTCAAGGGTTCGATATATGTCTTTTGGCAACAAGGCAATTTTGGATACCTCAAGATTGGACGCTCGGCAAATGTTCGTCGCCGTTTCAAGGAATGGTCTGATCAATGTAAGAAGGATATGGGAATTCACTTTCCAGACTTCACGCGAGAGACAAGTGATGGCGAGCGAGTTTTGGAAGAGGTCGCCCATATTTGTCGTGTCGAGGCTCTGGTTCATCTAGAACTGTTGGAGCACAGAAAAATCGAAGAGAAATGCCCAGGCTGCTCTCGGAACCACATAGAGTGGTTTCAAGTCTCAGATGAAAAGGCAATAGCCGTTGCACAGAAGTGGATGGCTTGGATGAGAACGGAACCGTATGAGAATCGAGGAACGGAAGGTGAAGAAAAATGGGTGCTAAAAGCCAGAGAAATGGAGCGACTAGGAGAGCTTAGTCAACCTTTATTTCCCAAATTGGCCCCAGAATCTCAGGTTCGGGAAGAAAGACTGGCTTCTCTTCGTCCTAGGGCTTCCTCTTCAACCCCATGGCGAGATGGAAAGAACAAATTGGGACGGAGATCAATTTAGCTGATACTTCACAATTTATACTTATTGAACCCCCGATTATACTGTGCTAATTTTATATGTAAGATTAGCGGGTTTTCCAATGCTTTTGTTATTAAATAGTATATATATTATCTCTCTCTATTAGCTGCCAAGTTTGTCTTCTCTAACCATGAGATATTAAAAACCATGTTCCGCGTTGATATAAGAAACCAATATATATAGGAGGCATCCTTCTACTAAGAGTAAAAGCCTAGTCATTAGTACGAGTTTTGTGCCAACGCATAGTTGCATTCTTCAGCGCATGCGTGTGGCAAAGCAATAGGAGCCGTCATATCGTGAGTATTAGGTACCTATATATTAAAGCACGACGGCAGATGAAGCGGAGTTTTGTTTGATGGGAGCTAGATATCGCCTTCCTTCGACTAGACAAAAACTCTTGCTCAACGCGAATTTTGAAATGCCACCATTTTCTATATTACTTTTCTACCTACTAACATGTTTTAAAGAACCCAAGATTCAGAGAATCATTTAGTAAATGATCTTACTGCCTATAATTCTAGAAGAAAAATTAAAGATCGCGCTATTAGCGGGTGAATTTGACATTCCTAAATGACTCCTACCCGCCAGGTCAAATTATCGGGCTCCTCGTTCGACGCGCTACCCAACCAATTCAATTTTAAATACGAAATCTACATCGCTAGTAGTAAGTAGAACACCTGCATCACCTTATTACTAAGTGATTTAGGTATCCCGATACACGTTGTGGTATCGGGATACCTATTTGCATATCGGGACTAGTATCCGGAAACTAAGTGACAAGAATATGGAGGTATAACTGATTTCGAAAACTACTGTACTACAGTACTTGATTTGTTACTCTTAACCCTACCGTTGCCGAGCTGGCCTATACAGAATATTTTCTTGATTTAAGGATTCAGTGAGGCCTAGAATCAGTGCCAGATGATATATGGTCGCAGCTTCCATGCTCCCAGGCACATTATTGATTGCCATCGGAAGTCGACTGCATGGCCCTGGCAACAACTAGGTTCGAGAGGATGCGGGAGCATGTCAAAGTTATCTCTCGATACAATTATAAGCAAGCAATTTACGCCATTCGAAGAGACACTACTTTAACTACGGGCATAGCAATATATACAAGATACAACGAAACTATCTTCTGGCCTATCATTCTTAAGTACGCCGCGCTGATCGACCTAGCAACGCTACTACCCGCCAAGGGCCCAGCTAATAGATTCACTATAGCGGAAAAAGCTGCTACAAAGAAATTCATGGAGGACAGTGGGTATAGCTTTGGGTATAGAAAACCAGCGACAGTACCACTTTTTCTAGAAAAACATATACAATATGCGTAAGGCTGGCGTTTACAAAATTGTCTTCTAGACATAAGCACTTGACGTGCATATCTAACGCTATGACCATCTAGGCGCAGAGGTCACCTGACTCAACGGTAAGGATGAGACATAAGCCGTGTTACTATCCCACCCACGACTCTATAGTTCTCAGCTATTATATATTCCCTTACAGTGCTGTATTAAATACATACGACCATAGGGTGTGGAAAATAGGGCTTCCCGTCCGCTCAGCCGTACTCAAGCCACACGCCGGTGAGTTAGTAGTTGGGTGGGTGACCACCAGCGAATCCTCACTGTTGTATGTTTTTTTCTTTTTTGCTCCAAATTTGGACTGTAGTAGCCGGTAGTAAGGAATGTGTACGGTAGAAGTCCTCAAAACTGTGAGTAGGTGTTTTATCAGACCCAGTGTCGAGTAACCAGCTGTTGAATCTGTCCGAGGGGTGAGCTGCCGCTGTGATGGCCATGTAACTCTCTCCCTCACTTCGCAGCGCGATGGAGTAATTCCAGACATGGGGGCTGCTGGTCCAATGGGTGGGTGGCACCTCTGCCAGGTAGGAACAGGCTTTGGCTTTATGAGGTCCGAAACCGCAGTAGGCGCACATTCCACTTTCGTCCTTTTGTGGCGCGTCCTTCTTTTCTTTTACATATTCATGAATGTCCTTGCCGGGAGGAGGTTGGTTCCGTAGGGTTCTCTTTTTCCTAGGCTCGTTGGATGTGTTCGACTCGTCTTTCGAAGGTTTTGTTATCTTGAGTCGAGGAGGTATCACTGTTACCTCCTTTTCCACCTCTCCTGCCTCCTCTTCCTCCACGTCCTCCTCCGCGATTGTTTCCCCGTCCTCGTGAGGATTAGGCCGCATTGATAGTTCCTTCTCTGTCATGGAATGGCCTATGTGTCGGGTAGAAATTGCCGCAAGATCAGAGATTGTACGAACGTGGGCAGCATGAACTTCATTCATAGAGTACGGAGTAGTCTCATTCTGGAGATATTCACATGATACGTGTGGGATACTGTCAGTATCGAACCCGACACCATCAACCCTCTTGAGTGTATCACCGAGTCATTATTTGATTTATCATATTGCAGTGATGTCTCCAGGCTTTTCAATTGAATCGTTTGTAGTCAACAACCTCCTAAACAACGACTGCGGAAGAGTTGAAGACAGTATCTCTGTTAAAGATCATGTAGTTCGACATGTACCTTGCGAGTCCTTGACGTCCTTTCTAGGTGGCTAATTCTTCGAGTCTCCTCCCCACATCATCACCTGCACAGCTTGAGCTCTTTGTAAACCCAAGAATATCATCTACAGCAAGATGAACTTGCTCGAGCAGTCTATCACCGCTAAATACAAGTTCTAGTCAGCCCTGCGTACCTCGACTTAAGTAATTACCATTGGGGAACTCACGATCTCGCTTCCCGGTCGTGGAAAACATTCCTCCAATGAGCATACATCCATACAATGGGCAAATATGAAGCGCAAGTTGCCCCATGGGTGATGTTCAGCAGTCTTTCGGTCGTTTGCATTGACTTGGTTGACAGTGCACTGTGCCGTCCCAATGAAAAACTCGCGGGTAGAATGGATAATCGGACCGATGGGGATGTTCATGTATTCTAGCGTACGAGGTGGCTTTCATAGTATGTGATTCTTTTTCTGGGTCTATGAGCTGGTAGGACTTCATCTGGCTTCTTGGGTGAAACTTGTGATATTTGACAGGTGCGTAGGGTTGATGCAGTCCTTCGAGAATGTTATCGGCATGTCTGTTGATCCGTAATGTAACCTCGTATCCGCGTGAGTTTTGGTCATCTTGTACCTGGTGTAACGCGTTGTCGTTGATGGTCACAGCCTAGTCGATTAGAACTGCTAGACAGAGCCGTAAAGCTATATCCCCATGAAGCCTACCGAAGCCAAATTCAGCTGTAGATTGGGTTGGGAGTTTAGGATTCTGTGCCTAATGATGGTGTTGTGGCACAGCCGAAGGAGGGAACTGGAAACACCCTGAGGACGCAGTGTTATCCAAAAGGCCTTGGTCTGGCGGTTAGTTTTCATGGTGAAGACAGTTCGTATTTCAAGGTGTTTCATCAACTCACTTTTGAGATTCTGCTAGTAGAATAATTTTCTGTCTATAATATATAGAAATATAGAAATATGTCACATATTCAGATCCCTTATGAGAACCCGACAAGAAAGTTAAGAGGGAAGGACGATTAATTCTCTACAGACAAACAGAAGCTACTTAAATAGCTAGTGGAAGCCCGACAAATCAGGCATCAGGTAGATGCGCTCTTAAACACAAACAATTGTCTATGAGGTCACTGGGTAGACACCTAATATAACGCTTTTCGGATGACTTTGGCTCTAATGAAACCAATATATCGATAGTCCGACTAAAGACACTTAACTCAATACTTGGAAGTAACACAATTCAAAAGACCAAAGAGGCTTATTTTCAATTATCAAGCAACGGAGCCACCTCTAACCAGAAGTAATGTCTTATGTGAATGAGAAAAAGGCAACCTCCACTAAACACAAACTCCAGCGCAAAATAAGCGAGCAAATGGACAAGTGATGCTAAATAACCACCTTGAAAGAAAAAAGGCGTCACGAAGGCAAATAAACGAAAGTCGTGGACCTCATAAACTTCAGCCCGCAAAAACCTGTCTGTACCTATGGTCTCGCTCGAACGCATGCGAGTCATCTGCGAAGCTCGAACCCTAACCTATCTTCATCATTCGGAGAACAGAGTAATAGGCTCCGGACAGACCGACACACTCGCGTCGGGGAATCGGTTCTTCAGCGTGACCATCAGGGCCGGCTTATCCCACAGGAAATAGGCTTTCTGGTCAGCCCAGTTGGTACTCTCTGGGCGCAGGGTGATATCGAAGTGGTAGAGGAGCTTGCAGAGAATGAGTCGGATTTCGCAGTTTGCTAGACTATTCCAAGTGAGAACACGTTAGTATTGAGTGAAATGGTGCAATGCGTATACATGGAAGAAACGCACTGTTTTCCAAGGCAGACGCGTGGACCGAGACTGAATGGCTGCAGGACATCTTTCTTATCGTCCGCAAAGATCGGGTCAGATCCCAGCCAACGCTCTGGCATGAACTTATCCGGGAAGGCGAAGTTGGACTCGGAGTGGTAGGAGGCGTAGTGGTGGCATGCCACGGCTGTCTGATCGGGATTAGTACGCAGGCTCCAACCGTAAAAAAGTGAATTGAAGCCTATACATACATCTTCAGGGAGGAAATGGCCGTTCACGACTGCTCCGCCTTGCGGTACAATGCGCGACAGACTTGTCACGAAGGGCGGATAGATACGCAGCGACTCCTCGATAACAGCAGTCATGTACTTCAGTTCTTCCACGGCGCGGAAGGTCATATAACTGTCCTGTTTGAAAGTCGAGCGGACCTCGGCGACGAGTTGGCTCATGACGTGTGGAGCTGTACACAGGTAAAAGATACAGCCGGATAGTAGGGTTGCGGATGTCTCGCTACCTGCCACGATGAGACTGGTATTGGGTAGCGTTAGCACAATATAAACAGAAGAGAAGAAAGATGAAAGCATTCGACAATGAAAACACTCACATAAAACCATTAGAATGAATCTCAGCCCGAGTCATAATACGCTCGCTGTCACGATACTGGCCCTTCTTCTCGCTAAGTCCATGCTGGAGAATAGCAGACATAAAATCCGGACGGGCTATATTCGACTCCAAGCGCCGGTCGACCTTGCGCGCACTCAGATCAAAGTGTTCCTGGCCGACGCGCTTGACTTCCCGCGGAATGAATAAATCCAGGAAGCCCTTGAGCATGGGGAACTGGTTGGCAGCTCCAATAAAAGCAATAGCCTTCATGGAGCTGAAGATCAACTTAATCCACGGGTGAAGCTGGCTGTCCTTCAGGCAGTCGAAGGACTCGCCGAACATCAGGTCACCGGTGATATCAAAAGTGGTAAAGTTCATCCAACTTTTGATATCAACGATGGACGCCCCTTGCCGAATCTGTGACCGCAGTTTGGTGATCAAGGTATCGACATAGCCTGTGATAAGACCTTCTTGATCTCTCAATGCCTTCTCAGAGAAGGCGTGGGCTAGCAGCCGTTTCTGTCTTGCGTGGGTCGCATTATCCACCGCACAGACCAAATGATCGACCCCATTCGCCGGGGCTACATATTGGCTCCGATTCTTAGGGAAACAACCGCCAGGTCTGGCACCGTAGATATCGCGAAAGGCCTGTGCTGTGTTGAAGGCCAATTCATTGGGTCCAATGCGCAGAATTGGACCGTACTGCTTGTGCAGCGCCAGAATATCTAGGTGATTACGGCCACGGAGAATGGAGACATTTGATGGGATGCGAGATATCGCCCATAGCTTTGGACCGGGGAAGTGGCGCAGGGGCGACCAGCAAAAAGTGTAGATGATGCTGTAGGTGACCCAGAGCAGGAGCTGTTCGGTGCTGATTAGCGTTGGTTTCTCTGAAAACGCCTGTAGAGGGCATTGCTCAAAGCTGTTGTGTTTCCCCGGGGAGATGTAGGGATTCTTTTCTTGCATGAAACAAACGAGGGTTGGGAGTACGAGTTGATGCAACTTACCAGGCATCCTGCAGCCGCGCCCCAAAAGCCAGGGCCTGAGGTTGCCCAAGACATAAGATTTGAGGTGAAAGAGGTGATAGAGATCCACAGGGTCATGCACTGCCCTGAAACCATATTCAGTTCAGGGTCATCTGGTTTGTTTTCTGGATAGAAGTGGGATTTGGGAAATGTTTCTCCTTTTTTTCATGATTTCAAATAGTCATTGGGCACTGAACCAAGGCCAAAGAAAAAGAGAAACGAACAAAGAAAGGCAGAGTTGCACCAGTCGAATGCGGTTAGTGCAAGATGCAAAGGTGAAAGATCACATCGGGAGTTGGTGAAAGAACCCGGATTCCCAGCCATATCAAACCTATCTACACTCTTGTTTGGACTCCGAAAATCATCGGGAACCCTAGTCAAATTGCAGATTCGACTGGGACCAACACGGCTTCCGACCGTAAACGACATGCAATTTGCAGTACGTATGCACCGCGGGATTCTTGAGATCTTTGCGCACCCCCGCTAGGAAAACCTGGGTATCATTATTCGACCATCCCAGTACACGAGTGAAAAGAGCCAACGAGTAGGATTCCACCGCCATGAGAAGGGAGCATTGGTTGTACCGACCAATCTCCTTTTGCACAGGGTCCCTAGCCCAAACACTCGATGGAACCTAGAAAAAAAGACAGTCAGTCGCGATAAAACAGGCAAACAAAAATCAAAAGCCAATCAGACAAACGAGCGGGGGATGGTCGCACCTTGTACACCTCATCTCGAACATCTTCAAAACCAGCCTCAACCAGCCGCTGTCGGTGACCTTCGGCGATATTCATAGGTCGGTGAAATGCCTCGCTGGCCTGAGTTAGTCGTTCAAGAAACTCACACAACGCCGGCGCAAGACGGATCGAATCATCGTCCGACTTGAGCATGACTTCAAACTCCTGCAACTCAACCCATCCACCAGGACGCAGATGCTCGTAGCTCTGGCGCATCAACCGTGGCCAGTCGGCAATAGCACCGCCTAAATCCCGGGCATGGATGAAGTCAAATGGCCGACTTGGGCTGTACAGCCATTGCGACTCGGCATCGTCCACCACAAATCGGAGGTTTGGTGGGACCCATGATGGCTGGATGGGACTTAGATCGGTGCCTGTTATCTCGGCACTGGGGAAGCTGTCTGCGAAGTCGATGGCCCAGATTCCGGTGCCGGTGCCAATATCCAGAGCGCGTTGAATATTACTATCCAGTGGTGCTCGGAAGAGCCGGCCATTTAGTACGAGGTTCCGTACGTGGTGAAGGAGATCTTGTCGATCTTGTTCTGGTTCGTCATTTGGAAGGACGTAGTGGCCTTCGCGGTATGAGTGATACCGTCTTCCATTTTCATAAGCGTAGTTTTTCACATCGGATAGCAGTGAGGCTGTATAGCTGGATGTGTTGTCTGATTCTCCATCAAAGACTGAGTCTGAATCCCCATTTGTTGATGCTGCAGATGATGTGTCTCCATTGTCATCATTATCGTCTGGCGATAAGGAGTTTACGGGTAGAGATGGCGCGGAACCACTGTAATCCACTTCAGAAATGGACACGGTTGTTGCGCTCATTGGAGCCGGCGGCAAAGAATGCGGTGTTGGCAGATCCCACGTTGAGCTCAACGAATCAATTTCAGTGGCTGATGTAGTTAATCCAGGCAAGGGAGTCAGGTACTCCTCGTCACTGTCCTCGGAACTTTCCTCCGGAATTCGTGCCAGTCCAGGAGACGGGAGAATCCCTTCTTCGCGATGATTGATATCGGCCTCAAGCGCAGAGTCGTCCAACAATGGCAGCTCAGGTATATCCGGCAAGCCAGATGCACGAATTACCGGCGCTCGAATTGAAGGAGCAGGCGACAATCGCCTGACTGAAGCTTCCTCCATTGCAGACTCCATTTGATCAAAAGTCCGTTTTAACGGGATGCAAGGGACAGGTAGTAGCCCAGCCTCCGGAGCTGGAATTCCTGATATCATTTTAGTGGAATTCGGCACGGCGTCAGACGACACGATTGGCGAGGAATCACGATTCCCTGTCAAGGCTAGGTACGTGTGAGAGGACAATAGATCGGTACCCAGATCAATTCTCGTGTTGCGTCGCCGGTCGTCCAAGCACATGGGGTAAATACAAAGGAAATCAATCATGTCAAGAGGAGGTAGCCCTGGGCCAATCTATACAGTAAAGATATCTGACCACAGTAAGCAATGGAATACTTAGAAGATCATTGGGGAGAAGGGATCAGATAAATAGCAAGTTTATTTTAGCAAAGAGCTTCACTTTTCATGAGATTGTCTCCTTTCCCATGGTATCACAAGGAATATCAAAAGGGAAAGTGCCGGAGTATATGGCCAATTCTAATATCGGCAGGGGTTTACATAGTACGACAATCACACTACGGCAATCGGGCTTATTACCTGCAGAAAACTATGGCCAAGGTGTAGATCCTGAAGAAACCCGGGATTTTGTATTGATATAACTAGACTCATCTCGCCCCAGTCTCGAGTACAACGGTTTGTTCACCACTGTTCATGCATGAGTTTATTCGGTGGGATCCTGATGCCCCAACACAGAGAAGAAGCACATATTCAGGAATTTCGTATTTTGATATACAAAAATCATGACATAGAAGACGTATGCCAACATTCAATACCAGTTCACGCGTGCTGATTCAGCTTTGGGGACCGGGCATGTAACAGTCCTGGCTCGAATTCTTGGAAATTGATAAGATTCAATGTGGTATACATTCAATCAACAACCAAGCTAGGCCGCGATGCGTGTGGGATATTGATGGCATTTTTGAGGGGTGGATTCATGCACAGAGTTTCGAGATGGTACCCACGTCCCACACATCGCCGGTCAACCTCTATCGTTTCAGCAGGATTGAAGCTCATGTTTCCGGGTCCCATCGATGAAAGCATCGCATGGCGATAAGGACAACAGTTGTCAACATGAGTGACAGTTTATAAGACAATGCCATGGCTTTAGATGAGCGACTCGCTTGGAAGGTGCAGCCGAATGCCTGCTTCATCTGGGGTTGGCAATCTCATTGGACAACTTCGCTTGTTGATGATGAGTATATATATATATGGCATCTCGATGGCACGAATGATGGATGATGGAGAGAAAAAGGTTGATATCATATGAAAAATGACTATTTGTAGGCCAAAGAGACAATCAGAGACAAACAACGAGCCCTTCTTTATTGGAAGGCGTTAGAAAAGGCGGCAATATATCCATGCAGCAGGCCGAACGAACCCTAGTCGATTTTTAAATATTTCTCCGAATGTGTTTGCCTCTGTGGACATTCTATATATTTTAAGATGCCTTTCTAGTATAAGTGCTCTGTCTATTTCTCATCGAAGCGTAGCACTGCCCAGGTCATTGCGTTGCACAGGTCGGCGGAATTGATATCCTGTCGAGGGTTGGACAAGGTGAGAATAAGATCTTTCAGCTACGGTGCCCCATTGAAAGAGCGCGTTGATGCGATGTTTCATGTTGTATATGGGGTTTACTATTATTGGTTGTGTAAAAGTAGACAACCACGTACGCGGAGGATACCTCACTGAGTGTTGAATTGATTTCTGTAAGCCACTGTAGGATACAGTATCTGCATTGCAGTTGCAATTGCAGCTGCAGTATCGGGGTATTATCTCATTCATCATCATTCATGCGCCCGGATCGCCTGGAGTGGAGGGCCGGTCCTCTCTCCATCTATTAGTCCCTGGGTTTTACGGAAACCGTCCTCCATGTCCTTGTTCAGATCCATCTGCTTCGTCAGGTTTGACCTCTAGTCCTGCTCGAATAAAAGCGGCATGCAGAATCCGCCAATGGGCCTCCTGGTTGAATTCGCGTAGGCTCTCCAGAGTGTTACGCTGCACCTCTGCCCGTAGATCGATCTGGTTCGACACCAACAACCCCTTCTCAAGGTCGATGCGAGCGTTCAGAATGCCACCTTGAATGAGGCCGATTAGTTCTTGGACAAACGGCGACGAAATATCCGTCGGACGCGCTTCGCCGCCAACGACCGTAGGGGCAAAGATCTTCGCCATGGAATCGAGTGTGACACGACTAAAAGGAATCATGTACTGCTCGATGGATTTGGTGCGAATGCGTTTGTACAATTGAGGGATGTGACGCTGAAGGTGAATGTCGAGTAAGTAGTCAGGGCGATAAGCTTCGAGAATGTCAAGGCATTGGCGGAACTTGAAGTTGCAGAAGAAAACGATGGCGCGGCGGATATGAGGCTCGAGCTCGAGGAAGGTGCGGAAAGTCTGGTTGTCAAGCACATTTTTCTGCAGATCGTCGCGGTTCATAGAGGCGAGAGCACATAGACCACCGTAGACGGCGACATCGTTGGGGGTGATGACTTCATTGTAGGTGTCGCCCAGGTCCGGCGGGATGGACAGGAAAGAGTTTGCTGCATCGAGGTACAAGGTTTGGTGCATCTGTGACAGAGCAGAGGCGGCTGTGATTTTCGAAATGTTTTTGGCTGCGTCATCTGGCTTTGACTGAGAGTTGCGTAGCCGGTGCACATTTGACTGTACAGACATCCAGTCACCGCGTTCAGTAGCGACGTTTACCATCTTGAAGAGCATAGAAGTAATGTGGTTCGGAGTAGTGCAGTAGTCTCTCATGCGAGAGTAAGCTTTGGAGGCAGCAGCTAGATCACCAGTCTTGTAATGATGGTTGCCCAAATCCTCATGGCCCATCTGTAGAGGTCAGTGTCACGCATCTTCCAAGGATATTTGTCATTACTTACGCGGATGCTTTCTTTAATCAAATTATTTTTGTATCCCCGTAGCTCATGTTCCAGACGCTCAGTCTGAGTCTGTACGTATCGATTGGTTTCCTGGACCCAGGCGGCGTCAAGAGAAGCATCAGGGTCGCTCGGAGCTACCTCCGCCAGTGCGCGGACCGCCTTCTCATATCTCGAAACGTCTTTGTTGATTTTAGCTTCGTCGATGGCACCCTTGAGGGCGTCGATCGAGAGCAATGGGGAGCAAATGCCGATGAGGTAAAGACGGTCATAGCGGGTACGCCCTGGTCGTGCATTAGAATCAGAAGTCGTTTAGAGACAAAAGTGTCACTCACCAGCGTAGTTTGCAATGTAAGTATCAAGGTCGAATTTCGGGGGCTCTAGCAAATCAAGTAAGTGTGTGTTCCCGGCGTAGCAACATCATCGCGCGGAGATAGCCCCGCGTGGGGTTAACATACCTTCTACCTTCACTAGTGCCTTTGGTCGGGGTACAGTGATAGTCGTAGCCTCCAGAGCTGTGGCATCCATATCTGCCCGAGACGGACCAGATGCGTCTGGAAGCGTGGTGTCCATCTTTGCCGAGCTGTTTAGACGATGCGTTGCGGGGAGAGGTGACACTGGCAAATCGAAGAAATGGAGCTTAATTAGCAAGCTAGGGTTTCAGTGGAATAAGATAGCGACCAATTTGAACGCTAAGAACAATATGCTGTTAAGGGAAGTGAATGAGAGGTGGGTGACAGCCAGTCGGTCGATCATCTGTGATGGGTGATTGATTGTCTGGCAAAACCCGACCGCCTACAATACCGCCATACAGAAGGGCCGTGAAGATGTACATCAATACGGAGTAGAGATAGGGCAAAAAAGAAACTGTCATTCTCTCAGAGTATCCTATATTTTGGCCTGATATATCTTCTTATATGACCCAAATAGAGCTAAAAGGCCAAAAGACAAGCTAGAAAGCTAGAATGTCACTCAAATCGTAACAATGGGGTAGCTTGGTTGCAGCGATACGCGACCGGAAGACTCTGTTGATCACCACGAAGCATATAATGGAAATGCTGAACACTGAAGACTATATATTAATCCCCGGGCTTATATGAAGATGTCTGAGGCACTAGAAATCCTCGAAAGCCGTAGAGTGGAGCTGCACTATGAACCTCGGAACGTGAGTAATCACGAAATTAAACATCAAGTAACCTATCGGCTATATAAAAGCGGCTCGGGACCCCAATATCTTGATTATAATCCTTCTTGCCGACAGCATAAACAGATATATAATCGACAAAGCTCGGCATTCAGTAATCACAAACAAAGTATATAACAAGCCTAATCCAAGACGTCAATCGACCCCGACTCAACTTCTAGCAACAGAACGAAACTCCTAAAGCCTCAAAATGTCCCAAACACAGCAAGTCACCCTGATAATAGGAGCATCACGCGGGATCGGGCGCCAAATTGCCATCGACCTAGCAAAGAACGGCTACGCCGGTACAGCCACATGCAATCCCACATAGACCATCGAGACTAACCCCAAACCCCAGTAATGCTATCCGCAAAAACAACATCGGACGCATCGACAGTGACTCCGTTCCCACCAGACCCGAACTCATCGCAGTCTACCATCAACACAGTAGAGCGCGAGATTCACGAAGCGGGCGGACACGCGGCAACAGTCGCCGTTGACGTGCGTGACGCCGCACAGATCCAGCATGCTGTCGACGAGACGGTTCGCGTCTTTGGGAAGCTCGATGTGCTCGTGTACAACTCCGGTGCGATCTGGTGGTCTTCTGTGGAGAAGACGCCTCTGAAGCGGTTTAAGCTTATGCAGCAGGTCAACCCCGAGGGACTGTATGCGAGTGTTCAAGCTGCTTTGCCTTTCTTTGAGAAGGGGGGCTGGAAAGGGCGCATTATTGTTGTATCGCCGCCTATTTACTCGAGGTTCTTTAGTGGGAAGACTGCTTATGCGATGGGTGAGTTACCCTTGATACGTGGGGTAGAGGATCCACATAGAGTGTGTGCTGATGATGTGTTGTATGTAGGCAAAGTCGCAATGAGTGTCTTGGTCAAAGGACTGGCCATGGACTTTGTACGCCAAGGCCGAAATGAAATGGCGGTGACGAGTATCTGGCCTGCATCGGTATGTGTCTTGGTCTTGATTCCATCCGGACGTGGAGTGCATGAGGGGATTGCTGACTGCATCATTACTTCCTAGTCGATTGAATCAGCAGCTACAGAGTATAATAAGGGATCCGACACATCCTACAAAAAGGATTTGAGAAAACCGGTATGTCCATTTCGATACTGTCTACACTTCCTGGTCAATTCAATACTGACACGATGCAATAGACGATATTCTCAGATGCTGTTCTGGCTATGCTTCGTGCCCCACATCAAACAGTGAATGGGCTCCTGGATACAGATGAGGACTTTCTCAGGGAGAAATGCGGAGTCTCTGACTTTTCCAAATACTCTGTAATCCCAGGATCGACGCCACGGCGGATCATGCCGGCCAAGTTCCCAGTCTTGGAGATTGCAGAGCAAGACGATGAAGGGCAGCGAATGGATAGCACGAAGTTACGGGCCAAGATATAGGTTTGGGGAGGGGTGAATTGAACCTCTCATTCAGACTAGACGTGCATTTGATACAGTATCTGAAAACTGGAGATGTAAATAACCCATGTATACATTAATAGGGTTAAATAATATTATATCGCAAGATACATACCAATGTAGGAAATGTTAAAACAGGGTGTAATGAGCGAACGGCCAGCAATAGAGTACTCCATAAACCCAGACAAGAAAGAAAAGAAAAAAGAAACAGACGCCCATTGCTAATGCAGCCAGAAAATGCAAGCCCAGAAAGAAACAAAAGACTAGCCAATATCATGGAAGCCTCGAGCACGAATAACGGAAACTCCAGGGTTCAATGCCCTTGGCGAGCCAATCAGACATAGACCCTTGACTCTACAAGAGAACAGCAAAGCCAGCAACAAACCCACCAACCAGAACACAAAGCCCATAGACATGGCTGATATCAACAGAGACCATGCGCGGAGCAGCGCCAGTAGCGCTGGTATCTCCATTGCCATTGACCAGGGTATTGACAGGGGTCTCGGACGCAGTAGCAGTAGCAGTGTTGGCGGTAGTAGTAGTAGTAGTAGTAGTCACATTGATACGCTTGGGATTCTGGGCTCCACAAGGGTTATCTACTCTGCAGTTATTCTGGCAAGTGGTGTTACCGTCGCAGTTGAGAACGCATTGGCTGTTGGTTTCCGTGCAGATGTAGTAGGGGATTGTCAGGGAATATTCAGTGGCGTTAGGGCTGATGCCGTTGCTGCATGTGCAGTCGTAGGCTAATGTTTCCTGATGATTGGAGTTAGTTGGGACTTTTCTTTCCGTTAAGATGCTTGCTAAGCGAAGGGCTTACGGCGGAGCAGTTATTTGTTGTTGGTGAACCCGAGGCTCCTCGTAGTTGTAGACAGAGGAGTGGACATGTGGATGTCTGGGAGTTACACCAGGCCTCTAAGGGAAGGGAGACGTGTTAGTATGATGTTCATATGTATAGTGGAGAGAATATATGATATCAACTTACGTCTTGTAGCAAGGGTAACCGATGTCGGGTCAAATTGGCTGTTGACCAGAGTGACAGCCGAAGCGAGGATGAACAGGCTCTTGGGCAGCATGGTGTCGGTTGAGCTTGAGAACTGAGGAGATCAGAAATTGGCAGCAGGCAGCTACTTGATGCTCGTGTTAGACTTTTTTTCTTCAAGAATGCCAGTGATAGTCTGACACATGCCCTAGAGCCGAAATAGAGCCGGCGATAGCTATCTCGGGCAGATGGAATGAAGGGGGAAAGGTGTAATGGGTCTAGGAAATGTCATGGAACCTACAGTATGAATTTCTTGAATCTTTCAAGAACAAGCTGAGAATGAGGAGGATGAAGATGTTGATGATCTAAAGCCAATAGCAAGAGGCTGCTCCTTGAAGTTGTAAAGATTTAGGGGTGCAAGTAGCTCAAGGAGGAAAAAAAAGTAGCCAGCAAGGGAGGAGTGGGGAGGTCATAAATGAAAAGAGCAATCACAGGACTATAACAGCCTATGTATAGAATTGTGCTAGCTGGTCTGCATGGTGGCATGCACTAGTGCACTCTCGCGGTTCTACGGCATCGAATGGTAATTTTTTCCTTTTTTTTTTCAGCAAGCCCAAGATATTTCCTGTCAAGTGAGTTCAGTAGTAGACCCGTTGCTTCGGAAGTGAGGTGTGGATTTGGACGAAGGGTCCGCTATAGGGGTTTACCCTTGCGATGTGTCGATCCGGGGATATCTCCATGAAGCTCGGGTAGAGACGTTTGTCCAGGCCGGGTGGGAGCTCACTGTGTGTCACATCTGTCATCCTGTCGATAGTCTCCACTAAAAACACATCATTGTAGGTTCTCAAAGATAGGAAAGTGACATGTCTCAGTTGGAGTTGAGAAACTGGAAAGATTAGAGGACGCCGATCAAGAAACGCTTACCGCATTGGGATTGGCGTGGTTTGTGGCTTGAAGTAGTCGGATGAGATTGTGAAAGTGTCAAGTTGAAGTCGAAAGGCAGGCAAGTTTGAAATTGTTGTCATATATGAGATTGATCTTAGAGAAATACAATCAAAACTGTCAATTATCAACGTCATCAAAGGGAATTGGGTACAAAGCATGAACATATCCATATCTGCCCAGCCTTAGCTAATCCACCCGAACCAGCCCCCGTGACCGCCAATGTCTCAAATCGACTCCAATTGAATTTCGTTATCGACACACTCAACACTCTCACTCTCTCGCCACCATCGACGGTTCCAAGGTTAGTTTGTCTCACCTCTGATCGCTTGTGCCACCCCGAGTCTGGCCCATCCCTGCATCAACTCCAATGTCTAAAATAGCCCGATTCATACCACCTTATACTTGCCACCCCGCATGATGGGGGGAAGACCGCCGGTCCATCCCCGAACCGAGCCACATGCACCCAAACGCATCGAACCTACTCAACGGCATTGAACCTCAACACTCAACAGAAAAGCTAACGAATACCCTCCTACCGAACAGGCCAATACCTACATATTCCTTACAGCATCTAATGGATGGAGCCAGCACCCGAGGAGGCCAATCCGGCATCTAAGCCGCCCTCCCCACACCCAGACATCCAGCCCGACCCCGCACTCCAACCTGAGACCGAGACCGATACCGATAATGCCAATGATGATCCTACAAAAACCGACAGTCACGATGATCAATCCCAGAGCTCCCCATCCTCCACCTCCCGCCCCCTCTCCGCCGTAGTGCCCCCCTACTGGCGCCGACACGAGCGCGATGCCTCACATGTCTCGCAGGCGTCGCTGCGTGGCGCTACCATCACATTAGAAGACCATACTACCGACCCGAACTCGGAGACGAGTCGGGGGCTCTGGGCGAGTAGCGTTACTATTGACGATCATGTTGTGGTGCGCGGTATGACTGGGGTGGGGTCGTATGTTGTGTGGAATTGTACAATTCAGACACTGGATGTGAGTTTGGGATCAGATAAGGGAACGTGATTGGCATGGCTTTCTAATCGGTTGTTTCTGTATAGGGTGGTCCAATTGTTGTCCGGATGAGGTGTGTTACTTCTCCGTCCCGTTGAAAGGATGTTCAGCTGACACTTGGGCTCTATAGATACTCCGAGTTCGATGACCTGCGCCAGCGGCTGGTGGCTTCTTTCCCGCATGCGAGGAGTGCATTGCCTGCATTGCCGCCGAAGAGCATTATCTGTACGTCCCTTGCTCCTCTTAAGATTGCCATTCAATCAGCTAATAACCCTTATCATAAAGTCAAATTCCGACCCTCATTCCTGGAATCAAGACGCGTGGGCTTGGAGTATTTCCTCAAGTCAGTATCTCATCCTATCCACATGATTCATTGTGTAGACCTATTTCTCACACCGTTCCAGCTGCGTCCTTTTAAACCCAGAGTTCTCGGGCTCCCCTATCGTCAAAGACTTCCTCTTCGGTCGTATATGTTAATAATCATCTCGTCTTCACTGGGTGGTGCTGGATAGGTTATATGGCTGGGCGTTTAGGAATTGCATTTTGCATTTTGCATTGTACATCTCTATATTTCGGGCTGATACTAGGAACCTAAGCCCACAATACTGGATATGCGACTGTTACCTTTGCTTACAGAAGGGAACAACTTACATAACCATGGCAAATACTAACTAGATCAGACGAAGCGGTCTAATACATAGAAAGTAGAAAGGGCCATAGAAATCGACAAGGATTTTTCAAGAGAACCGAACAATGCCGCCGCTAAGGTACAAAGATCCCAGCAAGAACCCTAGGCGCAAGCAATTGGAATAGAACGCCTTGAGTATGATGTAGTGCCCAGCATCGCTGAAATAGCAACAAAGAAAAGAAAGATATTTAACGCACACAGGGCGAATAGAATAGAAGAACCTCCTCCTCAAAAGTCTTGCCTTTATGGGCATGTTGAGCAGAATCATCCTTCTTACCATCACCCTTCAACTTGTGACTCGCCACAAAAGCCTCGACATCCGCCCGAAAAATCTTGCGCACACTTATATTAGCCATATGGATCATGGCGAGCCCGTGTCGGGGACCGGGTACGCCGCGTGGGAAAGCAATATAAAGATCCGAGTCCTGGGTCGGGTCCGGGCGGAATTTGTCATGGTATGCCTTTTTGCCGCTGATGGGCAGACGGTGGAACGCATGGTCGTACAAGCCGCGTGTGATCTTCTTACAGGCCCACGGCATGCCCCCGATATCCTCGGCGGTGAGTGTTTGGAGCGGTTCGACGCCGAGACCGAGGTATGAGATGCCGGCGCGTCGGAGGAGCGCCATTGACATGATGAGAAGAAGGTCGCTGATTCCATTCACGCTTCCTGGGGCTGCGATGCACGGATCGACATGGTAGCCGCCCGAGGCGAGCCGTCGAAGAGCGGCGAAACCATTGATTGTTCCGTCTGGGGTGCGGGTGTAGAGGAATGTCATCAGGGCGGGAACAGCAAAGGGGTCGTATACGGTTATGAAGGCTTGCGGGATAGCAGATGCGTTGCGCTCGGCGCGCCAGGTGTCGTATATGGTGATTAGGTTGTTTTGTAGTTCCTGGTTTATGCCGTGCACGGCGGGGGCGTACACGCCTATGGTGATGCCGCCTTTGTTTTTGTTTGTGAGCTGACGACTCTTGGTCAAGATGCGTTTCCCGCTCTTCTCGAGAATCACTTCGTTTGTCTGGGGGTTGAGTACGCGCTCTGTGGCGAAGTGGATGGTTGTCCAGCCGTTTGGTTTGGCGTGATCTTTGAGAAAGGACTCGCTAACGCCCATGAATGCTATGCTCAAGTGATGTCGCCGTCTGTAGGCTGCAAATTCGGACAAGACCTCTGGTATTTCGTCTTTGTTGCATAAAGGATCTCCGCCGATGATTGCCACCCCGTTCTGGACCTTAAATGACAATGCTGCTGTCCTTGTTTTGTTCACGAAGAATCGGTAGCTGTGGTCGAGGATTCCCATGTGTGCCACTCTGCCATGTATTGCAGCTATTTGTTGGATCGCCGTTGTTGTTTTGAAGTCGTCGAGTGTGAAAACGGTATCTTGATCTCGGCATTGCGCTTTCGCATGAAAGGAATCAGTATCGACTTTAGTTGGTTCTGGGCGAGTAGCTGGGATGCGTTCATTACTATCCACACTCGTCGCCGGGGTGGAATCGGATGTCGTATGGCAACTTGCCGAACTGCAAGAGGAAGAGACCGCGGGACTTGCGACGATATTCTTGCGCAAGTGATCCATAAGGGAAATTGACGAGATACCACTGTCATCACTGCTGGGTTTGGATGTCTCAAAGAGCTGGTCAATTAAGGAGTCTCCCATCTCATCCACGAACAAGGTCTTCGGTTTTCCTGCGACGGGGTTCGGAGTGTTTCCCTTTCGTGCGCGGCGTGATCGCATCTTCTTGGTTGTGGGTACCTCATGCGATGCCGCAGCTTCCGACATGGTGAGTGGGACGCGGAGGCGCTCGGAGGGAATAAAAGAGCAAAATATATGAGAAGTCAGAAAAGAAAACAGCAAGAAAAAATCAACATGAAGTCGGAGAATTGTCGGGAAGGCAAAAATGGCGAGTATGAAAGTGCTCTTGCCCGAAGCTACGTCGGTATATTAGGCAGAGGCATTTTCATAGGCAGTTCCCTTCGTGCCCATCCAGTGTTACCGCACTGCGTACCCAGGGGTATAGATCGGTCTCACCAATCAGTAGACGGCAACGGGGCTAGATCGACCGCTACCAGCCTTATGAGCTCTTGGCTCGTCCTATGACGTTGGGAACAGCAGAATAAAGTGTGAAGCGAACTATATATAGTCTGGGTTCTACAGATCTCTTGGCTATTACAACATGACCATGACGAACCTTGGAATAGAGGTACTTATCTCTCACCTCTCATATACCTTTGTCTAATTTGTGTTGGAGTTCAATTGTGCCATGAGAACCAGCCATCTGTCAGTATCAGCATCTAACCTAAGTATGGTTAGCGATCAAATATACAAACTGGAAGCTAGCTAGGTGTGCTTAGGTTCCAAAGCTGAATTATGGAGAATATGCAATGAAAAACCACATGAACAAACGCAAAAGACTGGATATCGTCAAGTTCAAATGGGGGTACATGAAGGCGCAATGCAACGCAACGCAACGTATGTCTTGATCGAAAGGAAACAAGCATTCAATGTCCAAGCAGAAAAGATCATCTCAGCATGACAAAACTGGCCAGCGAAAGACTGAAGGGGGAAAAGAGACGACTACTCATCCGCAGTACCGTGTCCATCCATGTGTCCATTCACTGCACTGCATCCATTGGCAATGTCATCACCATCACTCTCTTGTTCAATACTGGAATCACTGAATTCAAAAAGCCCACTGATCTCAGTGGAAGAATCATCACTGTCACACCCCCTAGCCATCCGTCTCAGACACGCCAAAAGTTCCTTCTGCTGCTTCAAGATGTTATCGGCCAAACGGACGATCCTGTCAGTCTGCTCAATGCAATACCGCATTTCTTCGGTCTGACGCTCGGTGCGAACACCTAGCATCGAATCCTAAATCTCTTTATTAGGATAACAGTATCCAGAGGACCAGTTCGGTACGTTCGGTACTGACAATGTGGTCGATCCAGACTTGCCCTAGGATGGGGTCTGGAGTCTCCGGCAGGTAAGGCGAGTGGAGATTCACAGTACGGGACACAATGCAGTCGCGATGGTGGTAGGCAGAGGAGCTGCTTCCTTGTCCATTGCCTGATGCGGAGGCAGAGGCATGGGGACGGGCCGGTTGGATGATCTCACGGGTGGGTCTGCCAGACTCCATAGTGGGCCGCTCGGTGGAGGCGGTAACGGGATCGGCGGCAGCCGCGGCGGCAGCGAGGGTCTCCAGAGCAGTGAAGCGAGAGCGTCTAGGCTCAATTCCTTTGTAGCTCTTCCGACTACTGCCGTCAGGCCCAACAGTAGCAAGCTTAACAGTCATAATATGAACGGCTGAAGCAAATCACAGGTTGAAAAATGAGCGATGAATAAGAATGGGCAAAAGAGCGAAACCCAGTGACCGGATCAGATGAGACAAGCGTTGTGGGATGAGGAAGACTGAAGGGACATGTTTCGATAGCACTACCCTTTCCCCGGTGTTGACAAGAGTAAATGAGTCCCCATCGCTGTCGCAAGACAATGTTCTCCTCTTTCATTTTCTATACTCCTGATTGGTGGGTCACCATGTGCACTAGTCCAAGAACAGCTAGCGCATATATCCACACGCTACTCCCATTTAGGAAATTGACATCCCGCGATCTCGACAACATGTCTGACCACTCACGCTTGTCCAGTCCCTTCTGTCGAACATTCCCCCCTGACTGTCTATATCTCTGTACTTCTACAATAAAACACAATGATCACAAATCGCCCGGCTACCCCAGCTGATATCCCCCAAGTGCGGGATATCAATCACTGGTACATCGTTAACAGCTGTTCCACTTTTGCAACTACCCCACCGCCGATATCCCATTATGAGGACATCCTTCGGGACCTGTCCAGAAGAAACCTCCCCTTTTATGTCGTCGTGTCTGACACGCGGAAGGGACCAGACGGCGCAGATTTAGTCCTTGGCTACGCTTACTTGTCTCCATTCCGTGGCCATTTGCTGTCCTATGCACCGACCGTGGAGCTGTCGATCTTCATGCGCTATGACCAGCGGCAATTTGGCTATGGGACTATTATTCTTAGAAAGCTTCTGCGCTTAGTGCAGCAGGGGGAAATTGAGCACCGCTGCGAGGAGAGAGTGGGCGATCTGCCGCGGATTGGGTTTGGTACCTCCATGGCTGTCATGAAGACTTCCCTTGTGCAGAATATCATTGCAATCATAGCTTATGACACGGAGGCTCCGTTTGACGGGGAGGTATTGCGGAGATGGTACATGAAATGGGGGTTTGTCGAGAGGGGGCAATTGGAGAACGTTGGGCGAAAGATGGGTCATTGGTGAGTTGCTTTTATCTGCTTGGACTGATGGATTTTCCAGCTGATGACTTTGACTAGGATTGATACTCTCTATCTTCAATGGTCAATGCCAGAAACAGATAGTTATTGAGCGAAGTATCCGAGTCAATGGATAAGCAAAACAGGTTGGACAGAGATGGGAGTGTATATTCATAGTCAAGGCCTAGATAGTCAATCTGCTCAGATATTATAATTAGATGGTCTATGATTGGCGTAGTTTCTCCATATCACCGCAAGGCAAATATAAAGATAGGGACTACGACCGATTCTCTACTCGATGATGGCTCAGCATGCAAAGCTTGGGGAAGATAGATGTGATGTATTTCTAGCTAGCTTGGAGCCACCTTGTAGACAGTGATATCAATGGGATCTGACTTCGGCCAAAGACAGGAAGCCACTCGCATACCCACTCTTCTCCAGGCAACAGGCTGGTACCTACTGACACCCCGAGAGCAACTGTCGAGATAATTATTGAGGTATCTGGCATGGTGAAAAAAAGAATTCGAACTCGATCACCCACTCTGGATGCCCGAATATCTTATCCAGCGTTGCCATATTCTGAGCCAGATTTGGAGCATCCGCTTGAACCTGCTAGTTGGTGACTCTTTGACTTCGGGACGTCGTAACCTTCATCCGTGTCCGACCTCCTTTCGAATTCTCTATCCAACTCCAGGATTTCATATGGCTTGTATCGGGAAGATGTAGGTATTCTTGTTGTATAATGGGAAGGAACGTGTAGGTGTAGGTTCCCCGGCGCGCGCGGCAGCGTGAGCGTTGTCCGCATCCGCTTCCCTGTGCCGGCTACATCAAAAAAGCAAAGGTCAGCATGTTGTTCCTGATATTCTACACAACGATCAAGTGACATACCTCTCGGTGCAGCTTACAGTGGTCAGCCTTCTGCAAGCTGGAGCTAATCTGCAAGTTAAAGTAAGAAGTCAATAAAAGCAAAGTGAGAAGAGAGTGAATGCAAGGTGATAGGACAGTAAATACCCAAAGATTGAAGAGGAAAGAATGAACCCTCTGCAAGGAGGATTGGTTGTCCCTGTTCAAAGTATGCAGGATACCTCCAACGATTCTGTCAAACTGGCGGTACATCATACGTTCAGGTTCATCAGGAGATTCACCAATCTGGAAGTTGATGTAATGGGCCAAGTCTGGCATCTCGCCCTTGAGCTCGTGAAGTATCAACAGGGTAGGAAGCCAACAGTAGCTGACTTCCTTGCAGATACTAGCCTGAGCGCGGCAAGTGGAAACAAAGGCATGGAACGAACGAAACTGGTACCATCGCATCGTCCACAGCTTCATGAATGCCCTAGACTCGGTGTCCTCTGCATCGGGCAACAAGTTGATGATCGCAAGGTAGGCCTCGTCAGCTAGTCAAAGGTGGTTATTGCTAGATTTTATGAGGGCGACGAACTCCTCTTCCAGACTAAGTATCAGCCATTTGCTCAAATTCTGCGACCATTTCAGCCAGTTCTCATATTTGATGTGGTCGAGGGTGGGTCGTGGAATATGCTGATGTTTGCTGATGATATCAATGAGGTTGAGGTCTTAAGGACGAGCTGGATACTGGTTTTCCAGGATTTGAGATCCGATATCTCGGACAATTTCTTGACATTTGTGTTAGTAATTTCGTCAAATGGTGGCAGGTCATCGATTCCTGGGCTCGGATTGAGCCAAGATATTCCATGGCGTTGGTAACCGGAGTTGAAGACATAATAGAGAGATATCATAGGACCTGAAATGATGGTTGATACGGGTGAAATAAAATATGCGCAAAATAGAAGATTGTTTGAGTGGGAAATGGTGTTTTGAAAGACGTCATGCTTTAAAAGACCACCTCAGGACGCACTCCATTACTACATCCAGACTTCATTATTCATATTTGCCATCAGCAATCACTACTGTCTCGCTGGTTCCTTCTTCCCTGGCTCGTTGTACAGTCGCAGAATACCTCTTTCCAGCAATGAGCCACCAAGCAAGCTCAATACTCAAGAATCCACCGACAACAACACAGGTATAGTTCATGTTTGATACTGCGTGGCTGTTAGCACATAGCTTGGGCAGGATACAAAGGAATCATAGAAAACCAAGCACATACCAGTTACAGGCATCTGATACGGAAACGAGAAAAAGACAATGGCAAACACCAGCCACGCCAAAGAGACGATGTTCACGGTCATTCCTAGTGTCTGGCCCATGGAGAATGGGCCACGGCGCATGGTTCGGCGGAATAAGAGAACATTCGTCAGAATGGGTACAAGGTAGGCAAAGTTGTTGATCGTCCTGTATCCATGTCAGTGTCAAGTCGTTGCTAACTGCTTTGTAGTATGAAAAACCTACACCGCAGAGCTCATCATTGCATTGAATGCCGTGCTCGACCCCAAGTATATACAGCCGAGGAGGGCGATAATCACGGTAACACAGAGCTGCGCATTGAACGGCGAACCCAGCTTGGGATTGACACGGGCCCATACTTTCGACAAAGGCAGGCCCTCGTCACGGGCAAAGGCCCAGAAGACTCGTCCGGTACCTATAGAAGTCAGAGGGTTGGTCTTCGATAACGAAAGTACTACTTACTCAACTGTGAACCTATGACGCAGGGCCCAAGGGCAATCCATACCATGAACACCAGCCCGAATGCTCCACCTCTTGTAGAGGTTGCCTGCCAGAAGAGCTCGGCAAGAGGAAGTCCAGTATGTGTGTTAGCCAAGCTGCCATAATCTTGAACTGAGAACATTAGACTGAGCAGATATGATAGTCCGGTCACGAATGCGATTGATAGCGTGATAGCTGTTGATGCATACAGTTAGCCAAATTATCGAAGAAAGCAACACGACCACTACTAACCTAGACCCAAAGGGGCATTCTTTCCGGGCTATAAATGCTGGTTAGTACAATACATAAGATTTGTATCTCCGAGCCATCTCAACTTACATTGGGCATTTCTTCTGTGATGTGCTGTGGTATGGTCAGCTGCGTTCAACCGGGCACCTTAACAATGTGTACAACTCACCGAAATGCCATCTAGTCCTCCAAGTGAGTACATTGGATTGACCAATCCGGTGATAAAGCAGATAACATTGTTGTCCCAGCCGGTGTTGTTGATCCAGGTGCGAAACACGAACTTGCTGTCATTATGAACTGGGGCTTTGGCGGCCACGACAACCATGGTAATAAACCAGGCTAATTGCAGGTAGACCACTGAAACCCATTAATTGGTGAACCACACAGGAAAAGAACCCACATACATGAAAATTTGTTGATTGCCGGAATAAATCGATTCCCAAACATCACCACACCCGAAGTCACGATATTGAGGATCTGATAAGCGACAAAGGTCATCCACGGTTGGACCACCAGGTCATCATGGTAAAGAGCAATCAGCGCCATGGCGGTTGTGGCATAAATCAAATTGGTTGATGCAGACGTAAAGATCCCTAGGCTTCATCAGCTCATGCTAAGACTTTTAATGCTGGGCCACCCACATCCAAATACAGTGCACCAGCCGGTGGCAAAGCTGAGCAAGCTGTTATATCGCTTGGGAGCAATGGCGGCAATCCAATGATACATCCCTCCTTCGGTAGGGTATGCTGATACAAATTCCGCCAGTGAAGCACCGACAAAAGATTGAAGGATGAAAACAAGGATGAAGCCGTATATCACTGCGCTTGGTCATTTATTGACTTCCATGCGATCGGTACGGAATGAAAACTCACGGGCGCCAGGACCACCTGCGTCAATAGCAGTCATCAAACCCAAGCCAAGGCCTATTACCATGTGAGTCGGATGCTGAGCGATTGCATGAACCAACTAACCTGTCCATGAAATAGTACAATTCGCCGCGAGTCCAATCAAACTCCAAAGCGAGAAATGTCGCTCCAACTCCTGCTTATGCCCTGTTCGCCGTCAATACCATATCTCCCAAGCGCCGGATTCGACACATACCCATCTGGGCCAACCGCAGCTCATCCTCATTCTGCACCTTGATAAACTCGGTCTCTTTCCCATCTCCAATAGACCCGACCGGCGGAGAGGTAGATATAATTTCAGGGCCGCTCATAATGGACATAAAATCGAATATCGCCCACGGTAGGAGGTGAGTATCACGAACAGAAAAAGAGGGGGTACACATGAATAATAAATAAACCCTGCGCAACGACTGACCTAAGTACCATCATGCTACTCCGCGCGATGATCTTTAGCTCTTATCACAACCCGGCAAACCTGCAGAAATCACCGGGTTCGCCGACAAGATAGCCGGTCGGCGGCGACGTATCAGCGGGCGGGATTCCGCCAAGCCACATGCGTCCCGGCGATCGCGGAGCTTCGCCGGTGCAGAACGTGGGGAGGACTGGAACCCGGAACCCGCTCGCGTGTCTGCTTCATGCACAGGCCGTTGTAACCCCATTTGTGCTTGGCGGAGTATAAGCTTGCGTCAAACTTGGTGTGCTGTGCTTATCTCAATGGAATAATTCGGAGAAGATTGCAGTGGATGTGGAAGGTTGCGACGGCGTAATCGACGATGAGTCGTGTAGCTTACGAGTGATAACACATGATGAACGACTGTAAGTTCATATGGTCCCACTTGGAGGTCCTGGGTGATATTGTATTTTGTATCAACGGCATTATTCATCCTGACCGACGACATCCGAAGATAGTTTCGCCTACTCATATGCTATTCCTACAGGTGGAACTTGATACCTACGGGTCTAAGTGCATATCGAGGTAGATATTTGAATCTACAGCTTCTGTTCGCACAAGCAGTAGGTCCTTGACAATTTTCATATTTAAATTAACATCGCTGGTCAAATTACCAGGTTTTCACAGTCCGTCCCCTTGTATACAGTATCAAGTATGTATTTTCATTCGAAACTCCCAAGTTCTCCCGAGAAAAGTTGCTTCCTAGGAAACGATTTGGTTTGCCGAAGTTGGACAAGTCTGGCATCTCTTCCTCGTGCTCGTGAAGCGGCCCTCTGAAGAAACATGGTCTTGAAGTCTTCCGGAGCTCCTGCCGGACGGCTGGTTTATCCCAGGCTCTTTCTTGGTGAGAAACTGGATATGCGGAAGATTTCCGATATTAATGAGATGACATGTTTCATCTAGCAGCTCCACAAATTCTTAGTTGGATTCTTCGAGTACTTTTGTAAATACTCAAGCTTTCGAAGTATTTCGTACTGGTCGATCAACAGAACACCATTCTGAAGAGGGGATGATGAATATGACGGAGTACTCTGTTTGTTTCGTTAATAGGATCCAGGACAGCCGCATAGAACGAGATGTTTGGTCGTCCGTTGGATGCTGAGTGTAGTTGGTCTGGTCCAGTGCGAACCAGTATAGCCTGCCAACTAGAGAGATACTCTGCGCTGTCTTTATCATGGCAGGAAATCTCTGAGTCCTCGCTCTCATCATTCCATTTCCACGATCGGATCGGCTTATGTTGAAGAAGGAATTAGCGCTCCATATTTTGAAGTACAAATCACACAGCACATACATACATACAGGATCTGCTGCGATATTTCTTGACCTCCACAACCAACAGAGACCATCAAAGTGGAAGTGGGAATCGCGCTCTCAATCCTAGCACTTCTCGGAGGATATTGGGATCACGTCACAGGTCTGCCATATCTTCCTCTCTCTCATTCTTTTTCCCTGTACACCCAGTTAGCATACAGTCCATTATACTGCTCGTTCTTCTTGTGGTCTCACATCGTATATTGAGAGTATATTGAGATCAAGATTGTGATAAATATAATGAAACGGAAGTAAGACACATCTCTACCATGATTTGTTAAGTCTCCGGATCTCTATCTTCCAGCGCTCTGTGTCTTTTGAGATATATATTATATGACAGATTATTTACAGAAGAAGAAAGTAGCCGACGAATTTTGTCCATGACCTGGTTAAATATAGCAAACAGCAAACAGCAAACAGCAATGGGATAATGTGTGACGGATTCAGAACACAATGGCATCCCCTTAGCATCTTTCTCCTGTCGCAGTGGATATCACCGGAGACTGTCCTATTGGCTTAGGAGATTATATTTCCCCGTGGGCATCTCCTAATTTCTCGGAGATAAAAATCCATTCGCATGTACTGATTGGCGACTTCTGCGACAGACACAAAAATGAATAATCCTTCCAAGCACGACAAGAATAGCCAAAGGATAAACTATTGTGTGAAAATTGAAGCTAACTCTCCAACTCAGGGGCTATTACATCATTGAGCTCTTTAGCTTTACGATCTTGCGCACGAACTCATCCCGGGAGACCTCAGGATCGACCGATCGATCCGATCGAGCTTGAAAATTGATTGTAAGGTTGTCGATCATTTCCCAACTGCTGGGACATTCTGGCACTTTGCCCTCATACTATTGGGATCTATTCGCTCTCGTTTCACCAGAACCATGGACTGCTGGTTCAAAAGACTGCCGATCACCCTCGTGGGCGATCATGGACGATATAGTCATAATCCTACAGATTTTTCTTTAAAAGACCTGGAAGGCCTAAGCACAGATCCGATCTCGATTTCGATCCCTTGAAATAGTACAGCATGGAACCGCCGTCCATCCCAGATAATCGTCCTATCAAGAGACACTCCGACATGTCTTCTACGCCTACTATTGTTGAGCCGGATAGCTTTGGCGCACATTTCAAACCCATGAGCTATAATTCCCCACGTTCAGGTTCTCGGGGACAAGGTTACGAACCGCCAGTGTTTGGCCAGCCGGCTATTGGAAGACCATCTGTTGGACCGCAAGAGCGATCAACTCCTAACCTCAATGCCAATGGTATCTCGAATGGCATCTATAATGGCGACCAGTTTGGTCGCAAGCTCTCCATCGATCAACAATCAGTCGCAGATTCAGTCAACACACTAGATTTGGGCTACCACAACATCGGCCAGCAACCACGACCACAGCACGAGATCTCAGGCCACCAACCCTTTGACCAGAGATCCCTCAGCACTCTCTCTCTAGACCAACAGTCCGTCGGAACCCAATCGCTAGGCCACCATTCTATAGGTCGGCCACCAGGCGGCTATGCTCCGTAAGGCCGAACAGTCCCAATTGCCAGAATTCCGCTAATTACGCAGATCATCTACTTCGCCCGCCCGCCTCCACTCGTCTGCATCCAACAGGTCGCTACAACCGAACTTGCCGACCAACGAACTCCCAGTTCTTCAGCAGATAAATCCAAACGAGGGCTCTGAGGAATTCGACCCTATCGCTGAAGAAAATGAGGAAACATCTTTTGATCTGGTCGCCCCATACGAGGGCGATGCGGCCCCCATGCATACTCTAGAACGACAAGCGGACCTCATGTTTTGCTCGGACCATATGCTAGCGATTCTAAGCACTCCGCGCTACCTCGCACGCTTCCGCGAGTTCCTTGCCCAGGAGCGTCCAGGGTCATTTTCAACTCTGAATTACTACCTAAATGCTTCCAAGGCTCTCAAAGCAATCGAGTATGCTAATTCGCTCGTACGTTCGGTTGTTGATGTGCCTACATCCGGTATTAAAACTGCAGAGCACCTCGTTGGCTCGACTGTAAATGTGGCGCTTGAAAGGCGCGTGCAGGCAGCGCTGGATGCCTTGACTGCCGAGGAATTACCTGCTTTCATTACCTCTACATGTATCAACATTACCGGCAAGGTAGTTGAGGAGCATGTGCGCGGAACCTTGCCTGAGAAATTCCGGGGAACGGCAGATGCGCTGGGTGAGGTATTCTGTCTGACCGATCCATCGCGGCCAGATAACCCTATTATCTTTGCTTCTGAGGGTATGAGGGATTACTTTACATTGTCTACACAGAATAGCTAACGCACTATGCAGAATTCCACCGCACTACACAATACGGCATGGACTACGTCCTAGGAAGAAACTGTCGATTCTTGCAAGGACCGAAAACGAATCCCAACAGTGTTCGGCGAATTGGAGAAGCGCTCAGGGCTGGGCGACACCACTCTGAGCTTTTCCTGAATTAGTATGTGCCCCAACACATCCTACCCTGCAAAACTAATTCGAAAACAGCCGCCGCGATGGCTCACCATTCATGAACCTCCTCCAAATGGCTCCGCTATGTGACAGCCGCGGTAAAATCCGCTACTTCATCGGCGCACAGGTCGACGTCTCCGGACTCGCCATGGAAGGAGCCCAAATGGAATCCCTCCAAAACATGCGAGCGCAAAAAGAAACCCCCGGGGCAGATGGCCAAATAACCAAAGAATCAAATAGCCAGTTCCAAGAACTCGGCGAACTCTTCAGTCCGCGCGAGCTGCGGAACGTGCGCGAGCATGGCGGAACCCTCTTCCAACCGGTCGTCAACGAAGATCCCAACCACCGTCTATTCCTCCAAGACTCCGACACCGAGAACGAGGTCGAAACCCAATCCCAAGGTCCACCGAGACCCACATCCGGGCCGACGCCCAGCCGGTCCTTGGCCGGTGTCTACAAAAACGTATGTCATCCATCCCTCCATACTCGGACATGGTATCGAGGACTAACAGAAGTAAACCAGTACCTCCTCGTCCGCCCATACCCATCCCTCCATATCCTCTTCACATCCCCCTCTCTTCAAATCCCAGGCATGCTCCAATCCTCATTCCTAAATCGCATCGGCGAGACAGGCGCGAAACGCGATAATATCATCAACGCTATGATGGCTGGGCGAGGCGTCACAGCACGTATCAAGTGGGTGACCAAATTCAACAACGACCAGGCTCGTCATCGCTGGATCCATTGTACTCCTTTGCTGGCGAGTAACGGCCAGGTCGGTGTCTGGATGGTGATTGTTATTGATGAAGAGGAAGAGGCAGTCAGATGGAAGGGTAATTGGCCGACTACTAATTAAATAGTCTTGCTATGTATATGTAAATTATTGTGATCACTAAACTATCTCGTGTGTGTTGTAATACGTTAGACTTCATGTGTACCGGATAATGCCTGGCGCTCGAGACTTTTCCCCTTTCATTTTAGTGCTCACCTCTTGCCGCTTTTTGCTCTCAGAGTAAAATTGAGCATAGGCTGAGCGTAAGTATGAGCTACATCAATAAGATGCAGCACGCTAGTCACATCACGTGCGGCTATTATCTAGCTCACCCTCCATACATTACGACAGCATCCTCAGCGATAATGCTGGTGTTGGGTCCTAGGATACTCACGAAAAGATTACTTCTTATCTGACTGGCGCTATTATGCGCAAGTTGGACGGTAATACTCTTGTTTCGCTTTTCTTCGGTGATATGGAAGTGCGTTTGTTGCCGCACCTATGGGAAAGCACCAGATACATCGATGGAGAACCCCGATTTTTGCGTAAATACTGAGCCCCTTAGCACGCAAGGCCTCCCTCCTCTCCTCGAATGACGACCGGGTGACTGATTTTATTCACCAGCCATGGTTTCTGACCAGAAGATAGACGCAGGGTTAGCTGTGGGGAGTGAGATCCTGCCAACAATCGTTGAAAGTAAAGAAAACGCAATATCCAGTCTAACATGGAAAGCTCGCTTTTAGGACAACATCATCACAGTAAGCTTCCAGTTATGGACTGATCTTTTCCCTACTCTTTGGCTCCTGAAATTTATACTGTACGGAAAATCTACGTCAGCCAGCATTATTAAATACCTACGAAGGTCAGCAGTCTTTGCTTTATGACATATTCCCAGTTTTTCTTGCTTCTTCTCGCAGAAACCTGCCGGACCTTGTCAATCTCGTAAATTTATATACCCGAATCCACGTTTCATAGAATCCATCGCACCTGCTGCGGCGCCACCGTGATTTCACGAGAGCATGGACGATTTATTTCTAGCCAAACATCCCAGCGCCAATCAGATTCTAGTCCAAACAGCTACGGGGTCTTTTTACGTTCTTAGTGCTCAAAGCTTACTATCGGAGATGCTACCGCGCGCATACTACGTCTACGATGCAACCACAGACCACAACCGCCACTCAAAAACAAAAGGAGCACACATTTACACTAATAAAAACCCTTTAGGCAGCCTGCCACTGACCAAAAGACTGTCCTCTCAGTTTCTTTCAGAGAAGGGAGAACCGGAATTATCTTCTCGGTATCGTCCGCGCTAGGATTTGGTTTTACGCCCTAGGGGTTTCCTGTGGAACAGGGTGGCCCTTTCGAAATTCTCTTTGGGCACGTCCTGTACAACTACCTAGCTGGCGAGCGATAGCTTTAATCGAGGATCTATTACTATACAGAATTGATGGTACGCGGATTCCTTGAGATTAACGTTCCTTTGGCTAGCTATGTTTGGTAGTCCTCATTTCACTAGGTACATCAAAGCTGTCTCTTCATAAATTACAATATCAGAATAGTGCACTTGGAAAAGTGCCTCCGTGGCTTTCATGTTCAAACCTGGACCATGTTTGCATATTCATATTCAAGTGGCGCGTGGTTATTTCCAATTTGGTTGTTCAGTTTCCCACTCATTAAGCAATCGCGATACTTCCTTCAACGAGACAGGTTTCGTAAGAAATAGGTCCACTCCTGAGTCTAGCGCCTTGATCTCCGCATGGGAGCTACTAAGGCCAGTAAAAGCAATTATTTTTGCCCGAACGCACCCATCCCGTGCTTTTTCCATCGTGCGAATGATGCGCGTTGCTTCATTTCCGTCCATGATGGGCATGGAAATATCCATGAAAATGAGGTCATACCCCTTCGACATCCTCTCGACGCACTCTACTGCTTCTCTGCCGTTTTGTGCTATCTCCAAAAGCGGGACCTTTCGTTTGTTCATAAAAGTCGTCATCAGGCGGAGATTGATATCGTTATCATCTACCAGCAAGACCCGAGGTCCGCTCTGGCTCTCATTTGGCGTACCAGTAGGATTTAGGCTGGAAGAATTCGATAGAGTAGACGACGTGGTACGACCGGATATTTCTGTCCCTGAAAGTAGCACGGGATTATCACGCCTGACGGAGCCAACATGTGAGTGTAGGTTTGGTGTGAAATCCAATGACTCAGCAGCTGGTTTCTCTGGATGACCAAGTGACGAATGTGTGGAAGTCTCGGCCATTGGAGGCGGGCGTGCAAGCTTGAGTCGTTCCGGAAAGGCAGATTCTGATCCGGCAGTAGGTAGATGCGATCTAGGAGACGCCGGTGTCGAATTAAGACAGCCCAAGATACCTCTTGCGAGTCTTTGTGGACCGCAAGGTCGACGTAGAACGCTAAAAGCCCCAGCAAGGTGTGACCACTTTTTCCTAGGGTCACTGGAGTTGTCCCATTCATTGCAAAAGACGAGCAAATTTGGTGATCCAGTAAGTGATTGCCGTACCTTTTCGTCGGACAAGTAGGTCTCGTTAACAAATACAAAATCAATATATTCATTGGCAGACCAAGGCACGACCTTGATGCCATACCAATCCATCAAATACTGAGCGATCGAAGACCAGAACTGATTTCCGATAAGGGAGGAGTCCATTCCCCAAAAGGCAGCACAACTCTTCGTTAACCCCATACAAGAAAGTTGTGTGGACGGGATAGGCGACTTTCCTGCGCAATCCACATCAATTGATGATGAATATTCTTCCTCGGTTAGACGCTCAAGAGGAATCGAGACTTGGACCACAGTGCCTTCGCCTACTCGGCTTTGAAAGTCGATACTTCCGTCAAGTATATCCACAATGCCGCGAACAATTGACAGACCAAGGCCGGTACCCACTGACAGCGTATCCTCCTGCGAAAATGGAGTATATAAACGAGTCCGTAGGTATTCGCTCGAAATGCCTTTCCCTGTGTCGGATATAGTCAAGGTTACCATATCCTCGGGATTCTGACGCCGCGAACGACCTTTCGGACACTGAGTGGCCTCCACGCAAATTGAAACCAGGCCCTTCTCGGTATACTTGAGAGCATTACCGAGAAGGTTCATGATGAGGCGCCGCAGCGATCCTGGCTGAACTTTATATACCCAGTCGTTGTTGGTAATATTAATGACAATCTCGATATCTGGACTGGAGGTGACTTCCTCGTCCTCTCTTACCAGTTGGGTAGGCAAACTCCGTGAAATAAGTTTGGAATGATTGGCTAGCGATGCAGACTGTTTCATATGGGAATGTCCCAAGCACACACTATCAACAACGTCCTCTGTCAATGTGGCAATATTAGTCGCCACGAATTGATCCATGCGCGCTGGGTTTTGCTCGGTAAACTTTAGCTTTGAGAAATCCTTTCGGCGCCTGGACCTTCTCTTCCGCCTTTCCAATGACATGATTTTGCTAAAGTCTAGCACTTGGTTCATCGTATCCAATAGTGTTCGCCCACATGCATTGATAGTCTCGATAAGAGATTCCTGGAAATCATCCAGCTGAGTGTCTCCCAGGAATTCGGTTGCAGCCAAGACACCATGCAGGGGGCTGCGAAGCTCGTGTCTAAGAAACAGAGTCAGTACCAGCTGCATTTTAGAGAGCAAATGATGACTCACGAGATGCTACTTATGAAGTCCCCCTTCTGGCGGTCTGCGATGACCGATTCAACACGGCTGTATTCGGTCATTATGGACGATGCGAAGCCAAATATTGAGGTCAAATCAACAGCCCGACTGAAAACTCTTGTCGGTTGAGGTGTCCAACAGAAGCATCCAGCAAACCACTCAGAATTGGTGGCATCCCATAAGGGAACAAACATGACTTGGCACGCATCAGGAAAATACGAATTGAGTTTAAAGGTTTCTGAGGCCTTGTGCTTGATCCGTTGTTTCTGAGTTGCGGTAGTGGAATGCTCTTCGTCCGAGGTGGATAAAGACCCATCTCTGTGAAATGACCAGAGTCTTCCCTTGGGATAGCGACGAGTTAATCGATATAGAAAATCTTTGTCCATATTGGCAGCCGCGCATGGCGACAAAGAGTTATCCTGAGACGAAAATGGATCAATCCTGGTGGAAATGGAAAGAACAGACGCAGAAGTTTTCGGATTGACAGAAGTAGAGTCACCGCTAGAGAAACAATCTGGCGAGACGTCGCTGACCTTGAGAAAGATCACGCCGCCAGCACCGTGCAAGTCTAGACCTTGCCTTAAAAGATTTGCAGCTCGTTGAAAAATCCGGTCATTGCTATCCGAGGATATCGATGAACTGCTGCCGCCTCGACGTGAGCTTCTGAATGAAGCCGCTGCGTTTGCAAAAGGCTCTACGTCTGAATTCTCGTTGGAAACTGCGCTTGAAGACCGAGGGTCACCAATTTGAGAGTGCGCATCGCTATTTTCAGAGCTGGCAGATCGGCTCGTCCGAGAGTGCGCCGATCCCCGCGAGGAAGAACTAGAGTTTGAGCTCTGGGAGCGAGACATGTGGTCATTGTCGGCGAAACTGGATTTGCCATCAACGAAAGAACGCAGACTCTGCGACAGCCGCGAGGCGCGGTGCCCTTCGACGGCCCGTCGGCTGACGTGTAGATAGTCCATGACCATCGCTGCCACTGTTCCTAGTGCGTCCTTCCCATCGTCAGACAGGCCGTCACGGGGTTGAGTATCCAACACAAACAAGCATCCTAGATTAGTACCGCTGTCGGTGATCAAGGGTGTTCCAGCATAGAAGCGAGAGTGTGGCTCTCCTTTGACGAATGGCAATTGTCTGAAGCGCTCCTCCTGTGTAAGATCGTTGACGACCAGTACGGGGAAGGTTCCATCATCCGTTTCTGAGGCAACTGCGACTGTTTCCTGTTCAGATAAAAGATCAAATCCAGAACAATGACGGGTGCGTGGCAAAATCACAGATTGATTGGCCTTACCCAACATATGTTCCAAGCGTTTGGCAAAGTCGATGTTCCGGCAAAAAGCCCATCTCCCTCCGCCGTGTACAACTTCGAGTTTCCAATATTTGTAGTCTTCGTAGCTTCGGCTATGATGAACTGTGAATCGTGATTCAATATACTTGATGGCCAAAAATCAGCCCAAGGTCAACGAAAATGTAGGTAGATCCGTCTTGGAGATTTGAAAGATAATGGAAGAATTACGTGATAAAGGCACGCTGTGCGTTGAGGCGTATGGCTGCCTGCTGTGCGAACGAGGTCAATGTCGTATTCGGACTAGACAGGGAGCTAGATTCGGTTTCAAATTCGGAGGCAGCAGAGCGAGGAAGCCATGCTGCGTTAAGCGCGGCGGGGTTGGCTGGTTGGAAATACCGATAGACCTCGCGAGCTTGACGATCTGCTTCGTGGGCATGGATAGTCTCTTGTGTTGGGTTTTCCATATTGATAATAATGCGCAGATTTACAAAATTTGTAGAATATTTCTGGGAAGTCGGGATCTAGTGATGGTTTCAAAGATCCAGGCACATGGCCAGAGTCGTATGACGTAGATGTTCCTGTATCACGCCTTGGAAGTGGAGAAGGCAAAATTTGTTGGTGACCTATGACGTGCAAGAGAGAGAACATCAGTCATCGAGTTCTTGATTCCTGTTCGAAGATTGAAAAGGGAAGCTCTCCAATTGTTGGACCTGAGCTCTGACTGCTTGCAGCTCTGTGTTTAATGAGGTATTGGCAGCTTCCAGGTCTTCGTTCCTTTTCTGTTCCGCTGATAACATTGAGTTCAACCGGGTACTCATCTTTCCATTGTAATGGAATTTCTCCATTTGAGAGATCGAATTGTGCTAAATCGTCCACAGTATTGACCCCAAAGAGAGCACTATGTGCTAATGCGAGGGAGAGAAGAAGGTAGCCTGATGTAAATTGCGGTCGGTTGCTATCCCGGATACTAATCCCGAATCTAGAGTATCAATTAGTAAATGAAATGTCCTAACTAGTTAGTATGCCTAAAAACCATGCTACTAGGCTCTTTCTACTTATATAGTATATTAGACATCTATTATTCTTAAGCTAGACCTGTTTGACCCGCTATCCTACTGCCTAAGGGGCTTTGGTTGAAGGAAATAGTACTAAGTTAATATACTGAAATTGTAATTAGTAGTTAATAATATCGCTAGAGTAAAGAGATTCTACTTTATATCGAAGACATCTTTTATATTTATCCTTATGAGGAGGAATAGAAGATCTAACGCTTACTCTAATAAAGAGATATAGTTAAAGAGTAAATAAGATGACTATTTTAAGTAACCTAGAGATAAACGTTTAATAATCTATCTACTATAAAGACGATATCGTTCTTTGGAAATTATATCTCATAAAGTTTAGCTTCTCTCTCTTTTGGTTCACTATTATACCTTCCGCCGTTAGGGTTTTTTTAATTCACTATCTCCAAACTAGAATGGCTATCAGGATTAGTCTTAGAGGGAGGTAACGATAGACTCACCCATTTTATTTCTTTTCGATCATCTAGGATGATTTTAGTCTTTATAAATTCTTCAAATCCACCAAAGAACCGCTCGGCATACGCCTATACAGTTCTTACCGTTGGTCGTCCGTTCTCGTTTAGTCGGCCTTTAGTAGAACCAATGTACCAGCGGATAAACTCCTTAATCATCTCGTGACTTAGGGCTGGACAGCCAAACGAGGTCTTATAGTATTTAAATCTATTTTCTGGCCCAAAGATCAACATTTTATCGATATAAGTTATTGGTCTCGGTAAGCCTTTTGTCTTTCTCCCTAATTAAATCCTCCTATCTGCGGGCTCTAGGGTCATAACCGTTTCTTTCCCGTTAAAGACGACGTCTCTCTTTTGCAATCTTATTATACTTAGCAAAACACTATTTTCTACCCATGAATAATTGCGATACCATAAGGGGGAAGGGTATTTCGGGTAAATGAGACCGGTATTGATTTAGAGTACTGAGAAAAAGGCGCCGAGAGCGTAGGCGTATGAATAATCAACATACTAGGCTAGGATATAGTTTGCTTTTATATTTGAGATTCGAGGTCAAGCCATAATGAGAACTCAGAAAGAACCCTTGACCGCAGCATTATGAAATAGAGGCAGCCCTCCACTTCCTCCTACGCATAAAAATAACGTATCTCCTTGATAAGATGGGTAGGGTTCAGAAAATAAGGGCTATCTACTAACTAAACATCGCAGTATAACCGACCCTATGGGCCTGGTCCATTAAAGGTATAGTCTGTGGTGGTCTGGGTGATCAGAGTTGCTCACTGATTGGACACAGAGTGTCACAGAGTAGTCAGTGAGGATCCAATAGTTAAGCATTTACACAGTATCAGTCATCATGCACGTGACTGCTTTGAGCTGATCACTGACTGAGCTTGTGCTGATTTGATGCTTTTAAGTTGTATCCAGCTCCTCTAGGAAGTTTAGGAGATGATAATTGCGAGATCAAGAATAAAACTTCTACTAAATAGCTTGCAAGATGCTACTTGTCCTAAATCTTACAACCTAGTCTGTATCTTACATATCCTGGCACTCGAGACCTTTCCCTTTCGGCTTCAGTGCTCACCAAGTGCTCACCCCTTCATCCCGACGTGATCACGGGCCATTATATAACTAATCACCTGATCTGCTCACTAAGCATCATTATTTGCTCAGTGTAGGGATGGATGCGAAATTCAATTTGCCCCTAGAATAACATGTTGGACTCTGCTTTGTACATTGAAAATTCTTCCAGTGGATTAGATTGTGCCCGTTGCCAGCAAGTACCCGCCGTCGACGGCAATAGTTTGACCATTGAGATACTGATTCGAGACAGTAAACAACACAGCAGTTGCCATGTCTTCATCTTTCCCTGGCCGTCCGGCAGGGATTTTGCCTTCAAACCTCTCTTTGGGAATTGTGCTCTTTTGTTTCTTGTCACTCCCATGGGCCGTCATTTCGGTCGGAAAGACCCCGGGTGCGATACTGTTTACACGAATTTTGATTTGCGAGGAAACAATCTCGTAGGCCAACATCTTGGTGAGATGAATTGCAGCCGCCTTACTAGCATTGTATGCGAAGTGACGCTGGGCTGTTTTTAGGAGACCTGAAATCGACGAGATGTTGACAACTGTGCTAGACCATCCATACTCATCCTCTGATCCCTTGCTCAGCAAGGGTAGAAAGGCAGTGGTGGTAAAGAAAAGGTGTGTGACATTAGTCCGCATGACATCTTCCCACTCCTGGATCGTGCTCTGGTTTTTGAACAGCTCTTCCTGCAATGCTTTGGGGTTGTCCTGATCTGTGTTCAGATGTGGAGAGCTAATACCGGCGGCGTTGATCAAAATGTGCAGTTTCGACTCCTTCGCGGATATCTCGTCGACTAGCTTCTGAATCGACTCTTTGGAGGTAATATCGGCAGTGATTGGGACAATCTGGCCAGGAATATCCTTCGAGTATAAATCTGCAACACGGTCCAACTTTTCCTCTGTGCGACCGGTGATGTAGACTTTAGCACCATTCACGGCGAGAGCTTGAGTGGCCATCAAGCCGATGCCTGAACCTCCACCCGTGACAAGTGCGACTACCCACTGTTAGCGACGCCAGCGCTACGGCAAGCCCGTTTCTATAATGGTAACTCACCTCTGTTTTTCAGCCCGAAAAGGTGTTCGAGCTTAAAGCTCCGGTTACTTTCTTGAGCTGACATGGTGTTTGTTCAAAAGTTCAATGGTATACATAATGCTTGTCATACATCGCTCGTTATATGTTCTCCAACTTGCTAGTCTTACGTCATCCTAATGTCAGGCTTTACGATGATGGGTACTTGATGTAAAACAGGGAAAATGACGGTTTGGGGTAATTTATTCACTAAGAAGTCATTATGATGAGACATTGAAAGAATCACTCCGTATAATGATCAGAAATAGGTACAGTTTCTTGCCAACATTCACTTAACCTGTCTAAACCCGTCTGTATCTTGATGCTTAAATCAAGATCTAGACCTTCTAAGATCCATCGAGCATCAGCAGGTTTTCATCGGAGTGTCCTTGTATTGGTCGGATACATTTACTACGCGGAAATGATATGTTTGAACTACTTGATCTTAGTGCATGACATGTGCCAAGCCGCACAACTCGCTGGGTTAAAAACAGGCATCGAAGCTTTTTTTATTGCACTGAACGAGTATAAATTCATGTATGCTTCGTGAAAAACAGAAATATAGCATATAATAAATTGGTTGAAAGTGAAATAATGGCACCCCATGAGCAAAACGAGCAGAGACTCATAATTACCTCAAATCGCCTTCCACTTTCCGTCAAATCCAAAGACGACACTTACGAGGCGATTCCCTCCAGCGGGGGATTGGTGACCGCTCTAAATGGTTTGAGCTTTCATGCCTATCTGTGGCTAGGCTGGCCCGGGGTCGATATCAATGAACGGGACAGAGAAAGCGTCGACAAAGCCCTGGCCAAAGAAAATGCCTCTGCAGTATACCTAGATGAGAGCCTCGCTCAGAGTCATTACAATGGATTCTCTAGTACGTGGCCTATATTCTCGGGTATATTACTACCTCGCTGACTAGGCGTATTTAGACGGTGTTTTATGGCCCACGTTACATTATCAGTCGGATGCGTCCTTCGATAACGAGTCATGGGACGCGTACCAGCGTGTAAATACGATATTCGCTGATCGAATCAGTGAGGAGGCGGCGGATGGTGACCTAATATGGGTTCACGACTATCACCTACTCCTGCTGCCACGTCTACTGCGTGAGCGCCTCCATGCGCAAAACAAAAGATGCGCTATAGGATTTTCTTTGCACACCCCTTTCCCAGCAGATGATTTTTGGAGAGGTCTTCCTGTTCAGAAAGCGTTGCTCGATGGTGTCCTTGGTAGCGACCTCGTCGGCTTCCATACGGACGAGTATAAGACGAACTTCGCTGGCGCCTGCAGATCTCACATGTAAGGTCCGGGAAATAGCATTGAAATACCAAGTGACTAACCAATTTATTAGTGGTGCAGAAATTGAAGGCGACAATATCTACTACAACGACCACACTATTAGCATTGATAAATATGTCGTTGGGATTGACTGCCAGAGATTTGCTGATGCACTCGATGATCCTGAGGTTCAGGCTGAAATTCAGCAGATTGAAAACCAATATAAGGACAAAACGATCATAATCGGCGTGGACCGCATGGACTACACGAAAGGATTGCCCGAAAAATTGCAGGGCTTCCGAGTCTTCCTCGATCAATACCCCGAATGGAGTAAAAAGGTTGTGCTAATACAGATCGCCATTCCCAGTCGCGAAGATGTCAAGAAATACCAGGATTTGGAGGGGGAAGTGAGCAAATTGGTGGGCCAAATCACTGGGCAATATGGTAAGTGGGTGCCCACTTCTGGTATAGGGTATGGCAGGTCTGTAGATTTCAAGCTAAATAACAATCAGCTACTCCCACGTCGACACCATTGATCTATATTCACCGCTCAGTTTCTTTTGCGGAGCTTACAGCTCTATATTCGGTGTCTGATGTCTGTCTCCTCACTTCCCGCCGGGACGGAATGAACCTTGTTGCTTCCGAGTATGTCGCTTGCCAAGAGGCTCGACACGGTGTGTTGGTGCTCTCTGAGTTTACCGGTGCATCGGCCTTTATGAAAGGCGGCAGTCTGTTGTTCAATCCTTCTAGTGCAGATAGCCTCTCAAATGCGCTTTACGAGGCTGTTACAATGGAGAAGGAGGATAGGAAGAAGATGTACGAAGAGTTGCGGAGTTTTGTCACCACCAATACCAGGTTAGTTGTTTCCTTTCATCTTCTCAAATTCCCTCACCTGCCATCAGAGGTCCCTCAGGTCTTGTAATCAGCAAAACTAACGCCCTTCAGTGCGAACTGGACGGAGACTTTCGTTGGAGATTTGACGAAATTGCAGAATAGATAGCTTTTAGAGTAGTTTTAACTCTTGACATTGGTCAGAATCATTTAATTGCTTCACTGGTATATCCGACTGCCCCAAGAGGGCTGTGGTACGACGTAAGCACTATCAGGTTCTAAAATCAAATTAAATAGTCCACGATATCATAGGCTAGTGGCCTCCGAGATCTTATGTAAAGTACTGTCAAGAATGGGATATGGCCCCTCTAGGCCCTGAGCAAGAACCTTGGTTATTGTTATGATCTAGTGGTAAATTACGCTGCCCCAATTCGTCAAGTACAGCTTTATTTGGTAAAGCCTGTCTATGATAGGCGCTTTTAGAGTGAAATTTATATTTATTTTGATACAGAATGGCCACTGAGATATTGAAAGTAAGATAGAATATCCAGATTTTGTTTTGATTTTGACTGTTCGATCTGAGGTTTGTCGCTCAACCGGCTGGTCCCGATTACATGACGTCGTCACTCCAGGTTAGTCGTGGGGCTAGGCATTCCACTTGGAATTTAAGATCTCAGTGACGGCCTTTCACTAAGATACTCATCGATACTTTTTTCTCAATTCTTTAGGGTGCAACAACTTCCATGTCTGATAGCTTGGCCCTGGTGCTAGTTGGGGATGAGGGGGTTGGGAAAACAGCGCTTGCAGTGCCATGTATTTCCCCTATTTTAATCGAGATAAACTAATTTCGAGTATAGTTCTGTTTAGAGCAATACGCCGAGGGCTCAGAACCAACGCTGGATGATTCGTATCGCACGCGAATGGTGGTTGATGACCGGCCTTGTGTCCTCGAGATTATCGACACAGCGGGACGAGATGAACATGCTGCGCTCCGTGAAGACCACATTCGCAATGGGGACGCATTTATTATCGCATACAGTATCACCTCGCGGGAATCCTTCTCTCACGTTCGAGCGTACTACGATAACATCAAGGAGGTGAAAAAGGTCTTGGCGGAAAATACTGTACAGCAGCCGCCTTCTGAACACCCTTGTCGCGTGCCTATCATCCTAGTGGGTATGAAGAAAGATTTGGAATTCCAGCGTGAAATCTCATTCGAGGAAGGACGGAAATTTGGAGAATCCCTAGACTGTTGGTTTTATGAAACATCGGCTAAGACTGGCTCAGATGTAGAGAGGACGTTCAATGATGCTATTAGATGCTTTCGGCAACAGAATCTTCCCAGTCCTCCTCCACAGCCAGCATCGAAGCAATCAAAGAAGGGCCAAAATGGGAGGAAAATCTATGACCCACGCAGGTGTATCACTTTGTAAATATCATAGCCGTGCAGTATGAAGTCAGTTGTTATGCAGGGTTTCGATGAATAATTGCTCTCTCGTAAACCGCATACCAATTAAAGGCATCCCATGCAGAGTAGAGCGAGCAGCCGCGAATTCGGGCCTCATACACCATTTCGGCCAGTTGGCATTCAGCGTTAAGGCATCCCCGTTTGCTCCGGTGGTACTGTTTGAGGCACGTCCTCGCATCAAGGTGCACCATCACTGAGGGTGAGGTTGCCGCAATTGTTCGACCGGTAAGTGCTAGTATTAGCAGCCGATATGAGAAAATGGAGGGTCATGCCTCTCGAAGGAATTTGGTATCTGCGCAGTCGCGGGAGAGCCTTCGCGGCCTAAAGTGCCGACACCATATTACTCACGGATTCCGGCAGAGTCAGGATCGGTCAGAGGGGAAACCGAGCGTAGAGCATAGTTTACTAATGACGAGGGGGCCCTGCAGTGGGGACAAAGGGGCACCGACAGCCCTGCCTGCGAAAGAGGTGTGAGAGCAGAGTCGTTGGGAGTAGTACCTGCGACCTTCCTACATTATTTACCTAAGCACACAAATATCTACGGGTGGCTATCCCAATCTCTTTCTTACGTGAACTTGATTTATACCGTGAAGTTCACTCAAATATGAACATTCCACAGTCAAATATGCACGAAAGCAATGCGCCTCCGCTCCTGGCCAATCACAGTCCACCTTTAACCGCCATACTTGTGCCGATCAGGGGACTGCGGGGCCAGGCGACTGACGCGGCTCAGGATACTCTCCCCCATCACACTCATCAAACCAAACGACCAAGTTGAGAGATGGCACTGCTGAGAAGGTTGTCGCCTGCGGAGAGGGCGAGCGGCACGGACCGCAGCGACAGTCCACTGCTGAAGGAACCACGGAGCCCCTCGGGGCCACGGCTGCTGAACCGCGACGAAGTTCCCTCGTGGTATGGCCATAATCCATACATACGAACGAGTTATAGGCCAGTGACACCGTCAACGTCTCGGTGCCTTAGCAGCCTGCTGTACCTTCACAATGAGACTGTGAATGTTTACTCCCATCTCATCCCGGCTATCATAACTTCGCTGGGCAATGGGCTTCTTTACTTTTATTTCACAGCATCTTTTCCGGATGCTACCGGAGTCGATCAGCTTGTTTTTCATATCTATTTGACAACTTCGGTCGTTTGTTTTGGTGTCTCGTCTGCATACCATACTTTTCTTTGCCATTCTGCCCCTTTCAGTGCTTTGTGGGGACGTTTGGATTATGTTGCTATTGTATTCCAGATTCTTGGTTCTTTTGTCTCGGGGATATATATCGGATTCTACTGTGAACCACATCTGCAAAAGCTTTATTGGTCAATGGTTCGTTGATGATCTCACCTTGTCGGTCATCTGACTGAATTTCTGATATACAGATTGGCACTCTTGGCTTCTTGACTGGGTTTGTCGTGGTGCATCCCCGACTTCAGAGCCAAAAGTGGAGACTGTTGCGATTATCAACATTCGTCGCGACGGGACTTTCGGCATTTGCGCCTATCATCCACGCTGCTAGTATCTTCCCCTATGATCAGCTAGATCAACAGGCTGGATTGCGATATTACTACCTTGAAGGGCTAGCCATCGTGATCGGGGTCTTGTTTTATGCGGTGCGTTAATTTCCCAAACTGATGCAGAATTGATCTGATTGGTGGCAGACACATTTCCCGGAGTCGTGGAAACCCGGAAGCTTTGACATTTGGGGATCGTCGCACCAGATATTCCACATCGCCGTGGTCATTGGTGCGACGATTCATTTGTATGGGATTTTGGTTGCTTTCCAGTGGAATTATGAAAATCAGCGATGCCACATTGGTTGAGGAGATGTATTCCAGTAGCTTACCTGTGGACTCCATCCTCCCAGGCTGATAAGGGCTGGCCCATACCCACCTTCCCGGATTGGAAGAAGATCAGCTATACACACATGACAAAGTACATTATGTCGCTAACCCTAACAACAACGTTGAAACTCTATACAGAACTAGCTTAGCTTGGCCGGATGCACCCGATACCCCCGCCCCTTGTCATTTCCACTTGCCACGTTTTTTCTCTTCTAGTCAAAACCCAAAATGGAGGGAAAAATCGCAGTCGTGAGTTGTCTCGTAGTTGCTCGGATCGTATCTAACACGGCCAGGATTCCGATTACTACACTCTGACCAAAGATTGGGAGCCTGAGGACTTTCAGTCGTGAGTTGCGGATATCATTCCCACGGTGTTTTGGCTTTTAACCATATGTATCAGTGAAACCACATCTATCGCCTCGACAATCGCGAAGGGTCGGTTGGAAAATGGCAGACGGTGAGTAGCAGCCTGTGGAGATATGAGCTTTGCTAATAGTATGAGCAGATACCAGGCTATGAAGGAAGATGACTATTGGTCGGTCGCGACGCTTCAATGTAGGAAACTCGAGGCTAATCATAGCATACAGGAGTCCTTCCGATGACCAGCAATTCGAGGCTTTTGAAATTGGGTAAATACTCATTTTTCGTCTTTCGTTCGGTTCAAACAGCTTATCGGTTATACCCAGTCATATGGTTTTTCTCGTGCTAGACCATGACCGAGAGAACCCCCTCCACCACTCTCCCATCGGCAAATCTCCTAAGGTGAGAGAGCGATCTAGATTGATGGCAACCTTTTACTAAGAGTACTCTAGCACATTCTGGACATTGGCACTGGTAAAGGAACATGATCTATGTAATCACCCCACCTATTCTCTCCAATGAACCTCGCTAACATTCACCTAGTGATATGGCAGATATGTATCCATCTGGTACATACCACTTCCTTTCTTTTCTCCTTTGCGCCAGACTAACAAACGTCAGCAACCGTCCGTGGCGTCGACATCTTCCCCCCTCCGGTGACATGGATGCCACCGAACTGCGTACTCGAAGTAGACGATGTCCTCCGCGAATGGACCTGGAGAGAACCATTCGACTTTATCCACATGCGTCTACTGCTAGGAGCATTCACACCCGAGGGATGGGATCAAGTGTACAAACAGTGCTACGAGTGAGTCCCTCCATTTACATTTCCCCTGAACAGTATCTAACTCCTATCCAGCGCTCTTACCCCCGGCGGCTGGATCGAACAAATGGAACTAGACGTGCGAGTGTACAGCGACGACGGCACCCTGAAAGAAGGCGGCGTTCTAGCCTCATGGGGCGATAACTTCATCGGCTGCTCCGAGCGGGCCGGTCACTCCCTCCTAACGCAGGAGACAATGCGGGGCGCAATGGAGAAGGCCGGGTTTGTCGACGTGCAGGAAAAGTTATACAAGATTCCTTTAGGGCCGTGGCCGAAGGATAAGATTCTCAAGGAGGTTGGACAGCTCCAATATGCCCACTGGGTTGCTGCACTGGAGGGCTGGGCTATGTGGCTGCTCACTAAGTTTGGTGCACCTTCGCCTTGGAGTAAAGAGGAGGTTCAGGTTTATCTGTCCAAGGTTCGGGCTGAGTTGAGGAATCCTCGTACTCATGCTTATGAATATGCGTGAGTCTGATATGTTACCCCAGGAGGTTATGTTGCTAATTGTGTTTAGTCGTCGAGTCTGGGGTAGGAAGCCTACGGCGGAAGAACTGGCCAACCCAGTCAAGACCGAGCCTAGTTCCTAAACTAGCATTGAACCGATTACTGTGTTTGCGTTTACCGAGTTCGTTTTGCGAAGCGAGTTTATATTTTGCATGTTTAAGTCCTGAGGCATGTTCGCCTCAGGCTACGACATGATTTTCTACGTATAGTACCAGAATGTGATTAGCTTGTCTGTTATCAATCAATTTGTTAGGATTCAACCCTGGGCGTTTGCTCCACGATCAATTGAGCAGCCTTCTCAAACTCGGCTTCTACAATCAAGTTATCTAACCCAGATCGTTCGACCTGCAATGGAATTAGCCAACTCTCAACAACGAACAGGTTACTGACCAGCTCCAGTCCCTTTTCGGAATTAGTTCCCTGCAACCGAACCACAACCGGACATTTGAAACCACCCATCTCAGCAGCGGCGGCAATAATAGCCTCGGCAATCATGTCACATCGCACGATTCCTGCCCCTGATCAGCTCCATCCCCTATTGTTAACGTGTATACTCACCACCATAGATATTAATCAAAATCCCCTTCACCCGTTCATCATTCTTCAAAACCTCAAAAGCCTTCGCCAAAGCCTCCTTCGTCGCCGCACCGCCAACATCCAAAAAGTTCGCACACTTCCCCCCATACAAACTAATCAAATCATTAGTCGCCATCGCCAACCCAGCCCCATTAACAATATTCCCAATATTCCCCTCTAGCCGCACATAATTCAGCCCCAATTCCGCAAGCCGATGCTCCTCCTCCTGTTCCGGCGCTCGTTCCTCCATCGCAAAAAGCCCAGGCTGTCTATAGCTCGCCGCATTATCAAACCCAAATTTCGCATCCAGACAAACGAACTCACCATCCTCAGTGCGCACCAGTGGATTCAACTCCAGCAACGTCGCGTCTTTCTCCTTGAATAGCTTGAACATCTGCACCAGTATCTGGTGGATATCCCCCATCTCGGAATCCGAGAATCCCAGCTCGGCTTGGAGATACTCGTCGATCTCATCAGTGATACCGGTCGAGAGTCCGAACCGGAGTTTATGCAGCTTGTCGATATTCGACTCGATGTTTGTTCCGCCTGCCGCGGAGATGAGCAGCACGGGCGAGGCTTGCTGGCGGTCGAATGTCATTGCAAAGTAGAATTCCTGCGCGATGGAGATGGCTTTTACGATGTAGAGCTTGTCGACGCAAAGGCCGTCGGCTGGGGTTTGTGCTGTTGTTAGGTAGTACCCGAGCATGTTGGCGGCATTTTTGAAGGCTTCGGTTGGACTGATAGCGGTTTATTAGATTGGTTCGGTGGTTATTTAGGATTGGGAACTCACGACTCGACGTGTCGAACGCCGCTTTGGCCGTCGCTGTTGAATTTGCCTTTGCCGCGGCCGCCTGCTAGGACTTGGGCTTTTATTACCGATGGTCCATCTGTGAATGTTAGTTTTAGGATATGGAATCGAAGAGGATGGTGTGAACTTACTTATAACGGAGACGACATGCTTGGCTTGCTCGGGGGTTGTAACTAGGAATCCCGGTGGAACTGGCAGTTTGAACTAGGTTGTATAAGCATTGAGGTAGGCTGTGTTTGTGAAGGGATACTTACTTCTTGGAGCAGTTTGTGTGAGTGGCTTTCAAGCAGACTCAACTGTCGTACTTGGGCTTTGAGAGGTGCATAGTGCTGCCGATGGTTAGTATCGTTTCAATCACTGCTAGATTGTACGAACCCGTTGGAAGGTGCGCGCGATCGAACGCCAAGCAATCATCGTGAGTTATATCTTTCATGCTAGGGTGTCAGCTGTCAGCTCCAAGACCATTCCGAGGTTCGATTTATGTCTTTTGTGTTATTTGGCGATGACATCAATGTATCGATTTTGGCTAGTTCCTGGGGTTGAGTTTCCGGAAGTTTATTTGATATGACCATCGCTTGACCGTGATGATTTCAAGTATTTTCTTGGTGCAAGTATCGAGAGAGCAGGATGAAGACTTCAATATAGACATGCTCAAGACTATTACATGGCCGAGTCAATTGGTGAGTTCTCGACACTTGATATTGCTCGACGTCAACCGCTAGCAAAATACGTCACTGATATCGAATCTTTCCCTTCTACATCAATTTAATCACAAATCTCATTCCAAATATGGCTTCCTTACAACGAATATCTAATCTCTGACTCCGAGCCTGATATCTCTCTCCCAAGCAACGATACAATAACCTACGCGAGCCACACGAGAGATATACTCTACGGACAGAAGTCGGCGCTAGTGTATACACATGGCCATACCGTGAGGTACTTCATTGTAGTGCACCAGCCGTAATCTGAGCGGAGACTGGATCCTCTGGCTGTCGGTCCGTTCCGGGCCATCGTTCGAAGAGGGCAATCTCCCGAATTCCTCTTGATAAAGCATCCATACGGGATTTCAAGGATAAACAATATCGTGTAAGCGGGGTACAAGGTTCAGGGATTAGCCGTAGCACACATCACATTAATGATAACTCGGCGCATCGCTTGTCAAAAGTGGGGGTGGAATTTTATTCCAGTCGTCCCAAAGTAGTGTGTTGGCAAAACTAGCAGTTTCAGGCTGCGCCGTTTGCTTGGCTTCTCGTATCGGTCCGATGGTAAATTCGCCAGAAGATGGAAATTGGTGAATTGCTTTTTTTGCACATCGTCACGCGACCAAGTCGCACTGACCGCGGGGATGGATGATGCGATCGGCCGCATTGGGGCCATAGCGCTGTCATTGCAGGTTTCGAAGAGCCTCAATCTGTGCGCAAAATTGTGGGAATGTTTCAGGGAAAGTCTTGCTAGAACCTGTTATGGTTCTGGAATTCATTTTTTCTTGAAATGTGGTGTAATTCGTAGTGGCCCAATGGGGATGTGCTTCTCACAGGTAACGAGAAGCCAGTAGTTAAATCCACTAGTTACCTTTCTTTTCTTTGTTAGGCCCCAAATGCTGTATCAATCTAGACATGGTCTATGATGACTGTGTCCGTTGCCTCCGGGTGGCTGCAGGCTATCTCTCTGTCTGAGTAAGACATCTAACCTCGAGCACGGCATCTTACTGTCAAATTGGTCAATTAGTCAAGTCTGTACTCATCTGATCGTTCCCAAAATCTGACAGACACTAGTACCAAGAATGTTTTAGCAGTGTTTCACGAGTACTCCGTATGTTGTATATCGTTTTCTTCCCTTAAATGGAGAAATAAGGCCCCGCTTCTTTGTATGAACCCCGTGCTTTTAGACCTTGACAGCCCTCACGTAAGCGACGGGGCGCATCTTGTCCCGAAATGAGACTTTCAATAGCCTCACGCTAAGAATTGTGTAAGAATACCCGACCGGCCGAGTCGCGGAGAATCATACCCGGGTTCGCCTGGATGTATGCCATGGTCGATGCCTGTAGATAGGTGCCACGCGGGTAATCGGAATGCGCGCAGCGTTCATTCGCCGACACAAATGAAGTCTTGGTTTCGAGACAAGCAATGGACGTATAACCTGATAAGGTTAAACCACGTTGACTTGGGCGAAGGTGGAAATTGCAACGTGGGAGGCTATGCCTATTCGGGCTTAGTCAGGCGTGACCAGCCTCCAAGACACCATTTTCTCCCAATTCAGAGATTTCAATACAAGTTCATATGATATCAGCGCTAGTGACGAGTTAGTGAATGCAAAATGAAATCATACCGAGATCGCCAGGGGTACGCACCACGGAGAATATACACAGCAGGTTTGGCTTATCACCGTGAGGCTTAGATAGGCGATCGCCCCTGAGAGCCCAGCCACCCAGTGGGCCTGACTTGGCCGACGCAGAGTTTCTGGCAAATCAAAAGGCAAAGAAAGCACATCTGATCGCTCGATTCTGACGCTGAATTTTGTTTAGAAATATAAGAAAATGGCCATTTCCTGCTGATGTTCCTGCAAATCTCCCTCAGTCATCCGTCACCATGAGGCAGTCGACACCCATTCTCTGGGTTGTCCAGGCTTGTCTAGTATGGCTGACATTGGTATCGGCATCGCCTGTCGGTTCTCCTGATCTGGTATCGGACGTCGCGCTTCAGGCCCGTGACACCAAGCCGTTTCCACTCCGGATTCTGCCCCTCGGTGCTTCTATCACCATGGGGTACAAATCGCCCGATGGAAATGGATATCGGAAATGGCTTCGACAGCAATTGCGCTATGCGGGGTGGGAGGTGGACATGATTGGTACTATGAAGAATGGTACGATGCATGATAATGTGAGTTACGGTTCTGTTCATCTTAAGAATATATACTGACTCTTCAGGACCACGATGGACACGTCGGCTGGAGAATCGATCGAATAGCTGATCATGCCAAGACGATCATCCCACAACAACCTAATCTAATCCTTCTCAAGTGGGTCTCCGATTGCCGATGCCATCTCCTTGCATGCTAATATGTATATCCCCACAGCGCTGGCACAAACGATGCTCTACAAAACTACAAAGTAAATACCGCCGGCGAGCGGATGGACTCTCTCCTCACCTACCTCTTCGACAACATCCCCAACACAACCATCATCCTATCAACCTTGACATACAACGGAAAGAAGCCGAAACAAGGCGCATCCATCAGCTCGCAATACACGGAACTTGCAGCGAAACGCCGAGCGCAAAACGACAGCCTCGTCTTAGCCGATATGAGCACCTTCATTCGGTATAACCAATTAGTGGATAAGATCCACCCGACAGCCGCGGGCTATGAGGAAATGGCGTCCGTGTGGTGGGCGGCCATCCAACAAGCGGAGAAGGAAGGCCTTCTCAAAGCGCCAAAGACTACCTCTACATATAGTGGTACGATCAGCAAGGCCCGCGAGAAGGCACTCGACGATAGCACTTCAGACCCGGATCTGCCTGCGTACACGGCCCCGGCTCAGCCTACCGTATCACTTGGTAGCGGCTCGCCTCGAGCCGAGTGGCATCTCTGGACTGCGTTCCAGATTATGAGTATGTTCCCTTTCTCCCTGTGTGTTTGACAAGACTAACCTTATCAGTGGGCATTGGTTTCTATATGATATGATGGGACCTGGAACAAATAATCAAAAATAGGCAAAACAATTTAAAACTTACTAAATCGTTCATCCCAGCCTCATAAGAGGCGTGCATAAGTCTAGGCAAATAAGCCATGCTATACCTAACCTAACGAAACCAACCCAATTTCATCACTAACCAACCCCATTAATAGAAGCATATCCTCTTATTAACCTCGGAAGCACGCAGCCTCCCAAGAAAAGCACAAGCAGTCTCCACTATCCTCGGCCTCGAACTCCAACCCTCCCTAACCCTAGACTCTGGCCGACCTCTTCACCTGTCCCCGCAATAGGCTGCGTCGTCCGGATGCCGTGCGCCAGGGTACAGGTCCACCAAATCAGAGGAATAATATAGCCGACATATCGCAGAGGCGCGGCATCCGGGTTAGTGTGGGGTCGCTGTTACCGCGTGGCGCTGTCTTGGAGTGTGGCTGCGATGGGAGTTCTTGACGGGATGTCTATGGGATTGCACCATTTCTAGGCAGATCAGGTTAGTTCTAGTGCTCGGAGGAAGGATGTTGCTGTACGGGGAAGGCCGGGAGTAGCTCTCGGGTGTCTCGTTCTGAATTCTTTTGGGGTGGGTTTGCCGCAAAAGGCCCGGGCGTGTAGCTATCCTTGCATGGATGTCAATGCGCGTTAATCGCATGTAAACTTGATCACATAACTCTCGCCAATGAGATAAATGTAGACGATGGACGTAGAAATCATACAACACACCCGGAATGTGAGCGACAGCAATGTCAACCCGAGAAATTCCCGGCCCCGCGGCCCGGCGACAAAGCTGAACTTCCAACCTGGGACACCATGACATCACCACCTAAGCTCCGAGAATATTATTTCAAGCTCCTACACTTCCGCACCTACAACATCCTCTCTACAGACCTCTAAACCTCCTCCCTCTATCCAATCCCCCCAAACCAAACCCAAAATGGCCGAATCATTCGCTATCCTCCGCCAACGCCGCTCCAACGAGCTAACCAGCCTCGCCAACGAGCACCTCCAACACGACCTCAATGCCGAAGACCGCGACAAGCTCAACGCAGCCTCGAGATCAATCTCCACGTGGACGGCCATTGGGTCCGGCGTCGGTATTACCCTCGGTCTTGTCGCCGCCATCCGCTTCCGCAACTCGCGCAAGGCGTTCTTCTCAGCCATTCGCGCGCAGGATAGACCTACCAAGGTTATGTTTGAGGATGGACGGACTGGTATGTTATTTTGATTGTAATGAAACAAAGATCGGTATTAATTTGTGTCTTGTGTGTAGAGGCTATTCCGGACCTCACGCCGCTGTTGAAGCCTACTACTCTCGGTGATTTCGCGACTTATTTCCTTGCCGCGGCTGGTGGGTTGTTCTTGGGTGGAGAGCTTGGTAAGATTGTCGATCGTATGATGCCGAGTTGAATTGTGCTAATGGAATTCTGTAGGCTTTGCTGGTGGTGTGGCGAAAGGGACGTGGAGTCTCGACGCGGATCCCCAGAGCAAGGAGAGAATTGAGACTGCTTTCAGGAAATTCCGCGCTGATGTGCTGCGGAAACAGGCTGATGCTTTTGATAAGGGGGAGAATAATTCCTATCTCCTCTAGGGAATACATGTAGACATAAATTGGATCTTAGGTGTACACGATTTTGTAAGATGATGTCAGTTATTTTCATTCGCAATGTCACAGTAATATACAAGTTATACCTTCAAAGCCTTCAAGAATGCCGGGCTCTCATAGCCCTGCGCAACCTTCGAAATCGGCGTGAGATACGCCTCGGACGATTCCTGGCTTTCCTGGATCTTCCGAACATAGAATTGCGCAACCTTGAGCCACATCGCCTTCTCACTCGCACTGGCTTCAGACCCCTGCCAAACCCAGAGTCTGTTCCCAGCATCGTAAAGGAAGACATCTTTACCATCCAAGTCAGACCGGTCAACCCGCCCATCCTTAACAAGATCAAGCGACAAGTCCCCAGCAGCATCACTGAGTCTGAACAGCCTGCGCGAGCGAACACCCTCATCAACATCCTTCTTCGCAAAGCGCCCAGGTCTAGCCGCCTCCAACGTCGACGGCGCGACATCCCTCCCACCCAGCAAATCAACAAAGATCTTCGACCTCGACTCCAGCTGCGACAGCACCTCAACATCAACATGCTTCGCCTGCGTCATATCATTAACCACCTGCGCCGCCTTCGCCTTCTCCATCGGACTACACTTCCTCCCCTGCCAAACCCAGATCTTATCCCCCTTATCCAAAACAAACACATCATTCTCATCCAGACTCTGCCATGTCGGCTCGACCTCATGCACGATCAACGAATCCACACGCGCAATGCCTGGGTGTTTAAAGATACGCAGTAACGTCAGAACATCCTCCCGCGGCTCGTGTTCGACATGCGTGAATCCCGAGCGCACACCACCAGACCGGACCGCGTAATTCCGGAACAAAGCAAGGAACTCGTCAGAAGGGTGTTCCTGCACCTCCCGATGCTGCGTCGCCACGCCGTGCAGGAACTCGTCCAGCTCGGCGGTCTTGTAAGCCGCGACGCCGGCTTCGTCTTGTGTGGTCTTGCTACCGAGCCAGAAGAAGATGTCGTAGGCGAGCTTGGTGTCGACCTTGTACGTGTGCAGCACGATGAAGCTGTCGCCGTCGTAGAACTGCCCGGTTTTGGATTTCGGCCACGGGATTACTTGGAAGTTCTCGATGCGCCAGATGCTCAGGCCGGGTTCTTGGGGGAGGTCTTGCCAGGCGGGTTCGGTGAGGGCGGAGTTGTACTTCACGCGGTGGTCGATGTCGCTGCCGATTAGCTCGACGTTGCTGTCTTTGATGTCGTATTCTTTTGGGTGGATGAGGCCTTCGTGGGGTGCCATGGTTGCGATTGGTGTCTGGTAGCTGTGTTGTGTATGATACAATTAGAGCTGAGGTGAGTGTTGATAAATGATAAAGTGATGATAGCGGTGGGTCCATGGGGCTGAGCCGCGGGGCATCATTTTTTGGGAGCAATTGGCCAATGACGTCGGGAATGTTCGAGCTACTATTTTTAGTCAGTGCAACAGACGTGATGCTATGTTTACATGAGGCTGGTAGCTGTGGGAGAGGCTGGATAGAGGGCGCAGTAGGCGTTTGAGCCACCATCGTGGCATGTCAGAAGAGATTTTTCATATTTTCGTCATCCGTTGGTCCATCTGAGTCTGATTTCAATTCAGAAAGTGCTGGTGACAGCTACAGCTGGATATTAGGAAGAGCTCATAGATTGAACAGCGAGGTTCATTTGAGTGGACAAAATGGAAGCCGACGATACCAACGTGTCATGCTATGCCCTGACGAAATTTTCAGCAGAAATTTCATGCGCGAGAGGACACGCAGCAATGTATCCCACCTTTGGGGCTAGGTCGAGGTGATATCACTAATAGATGTACTCCGCACAAGATGCTACATTGATCAAGTTTAATCCCAAGTCCTGCAGCTTGCATCAAGTCAAGTCAGAGAATTCTCAAATCCTCATTTACAAATAAAAACCAATTGGTGTAAATCAGTGCACGAATCGATCGGCTCTGAACTGAAATTCCAAATGTCCTGAGGTATATGAAACACCGAGGGAAAATAGTATCTACTTCTCATAACTCTAGTAACTGCTCGTGCCTGATTTCCCAGACGCACAAAGCACCGTTACCAACGCTAAGCGTCAATATGTCACGTTTTTTCTCGCTCGCATAACCATCGCGCACTTTTCCATATCACTGATCACGTTTACCAACGGCCACCACCGGCACCGCCGGCACCACCGCCGCCACCGAAGCCACCACCACCGCTGGGGCGGGCGTTGGCGAGGTTGACGCGGATGCGACGACCATCGAGACTGGATTGTATTAGCTGTGTTCGTAGTATGGAGGAGGGATAACATACTCCTGCTCGTTAAGAGCGTTGATGGCAGCCTCGGCCTCCTCAGCGGAAGAGAAGGTGACGAAGCCGAATCCACGGGAGCGACCAGTCTCACGGTCAACCATGACGATCTAGAGATGGAACATTAGTGTCTTGTTCCGAAGCAAAAATTGGAAATTTGTGGATTTTTCACGTACAGAGTCGACAATGTTGCCGTACTCACCGAAGGCCGCGCGCAGCGACTCGTCGCTGGTGTGCCATGAAAGGTTTCTAGTAGGACTGTCAGTATAACGCGTCCAGCATCGGAATTTGATGGTTTTGGACATACCCGACGTAGATCTTAGACATTTTGAAAGAAAGTGGGAGTCACGAGGTGTTGATGAAGAGAATTAAAAGATGCGGGGCATCTGAGGAGATATAGGGCCTTCGTGGCGGTGAGAGGCAAAATTCATTCGCCCCGCATAAAAAAGTGAGCACGTATTGCCAGGAGGCGAAGGAGCAGACTCTGCCGGATAGACCAGCTCATTCAATGCCATTTTGAGATTGGTCTAATTCTAAGCATTCTGCCAGATTACTATTCCCCAATGGAGTCTCCCACATAGGTAGCTACATATGATCTGGTCTTCCTGGACGCAATGGCAGAATTTCTAGCGAACAATGGCCTGACGGTACTGGAACCCGACAGAACTACCTTACTACTGTATGATCAACAGACCTGATCTTCTTACTAAGATGGATCATGCATTCGAGCATGGAGCCACAGCGCCACCATCTAGACCGGTAGGATGAGGTACAGAAGTGGATATGGTCAAGTCAATCTTGCATACGCCTCCGATGGAAGATACATCCGTATGCTAAAAAACAGCTTCCCTACAATTCTCCACCATCTATCTGCACGAGCAAAAACAAAAACATACAACAGTGAGGATTCGCTGGTGGTCACCCACCCAACTACTAACTCACCGGCGTGTGGCTTGAGTACGGCTGAGCGGACGGGAAGCCCTATTTTCCACACCCTATGGTCGTATGTACTTGGTATAGCACTGGAGGAGAAGATATAATAGCTGATAACTAAAAACTATAGCCGTGGGTGGGATAGTAACACGGCTTATGTCTCATCGTTACCATTGGGTCAGGTGACCTCTACGCCTATATGCCATATGGTCATAGCGTCGGATAGATAGATACGTTAAGTGCTCTCATGTCTCGTAAAGCTTCATTTCCAAAAAGTTACTCCATACTCCGTATATTGTATAGAGTTCCATAATGGGGCCTAAGATCAACCTGGTATTGCTATATTTCATTCACACCGAGAAAAAAAGAACAAAAAACATACAACAGTGAGGATTCGCTGGTGGTCACCCACCCAACTACTAACTCACCGGCGTGTGGCTTAAGTACGGCTGAGCGGACGGGAAGCCCTGTTTTCCACACCCTATGGTCGTATG